TTCTTTAATAGCAAAAATAACAGCAAATACCTGGGAGTAATTGGATTTTTTTTNCCCAATATTATGCGATGCTCACTCATTTTAGCTCCACACTCACAGCTGGAGCGGAGAATGTCACGGGAGGGGCACAGCATTAGACACAGGTTGGCGAGAGCCAAGGCTTGCAGACCTCAAACAACAACAACAACAAGAAGATTCCATTTATAGAGCGCCTTTCACGTCGGGAGGACGTCCCAAGGCGCTATAAAAGTGTGTGTTGGGGCACTGCTGGTGTCTAACCAGCCCAAACCACATAGCTTGCCATTGAAAGCATTCCCTGGCAAGGTATATCTGCTGCTTCTCCAGCTAGGACCACCCTATCTGTTTGGACAAAAGGCAAAATGCTGCGGGCGCTGGAAACCTGAAATAGAACCAGAAGTTGCTGGTTACACTCAGCAGGTCAGGTAGCATCTATGGAGAGAGGAAAGCAAGTTAACGTTTTGGGTCGATGACCTTTCATCACAACTGTTTGGACTTTGGCTTGCAGGGTTAGTAGGAGCTGAGTGGGAAGGATAACCTGGACCTCAGTGAGACTTGGCAACAATGGAGTTTTTTTTTTTAGACAACTATTCAGAAAGAAATGATGTGATAAAAGAATTAGAGTCGTGAAGTGTTCAGGCGACATAAGCTGCTGGAGTGATAGTGACAGTGAACATCATGGTGAAAACTGATAAAGTGTTAATCAACACCTATAGTGCTAATTAACAAACACTCTGAATTTAGCCACCTGATGATATTTAACTGGGCCTCGGGGATGCTGGAGGTGACTCTCCTCCTATCCCTGGCTCCTCTGGAATAGTTTCTTCTGGGCTTGAGCTTGAAAACTAGGCATTGCTAAACAGAGGCTTGACATTTCAAGTGGAGATCTAAACCCAAGACTATCTGGATAAAAATCCAACCTTCCACCATAAACGTTATGGAGTCCTGCAACTTAGCGGTGAGAGCACTCGCTTCGCAAGCGAGAGGACCTGGGAATTAATGATGCCGGGATTATTATTAATATCATTATAAGATTGATTTGGATGAAAAAGTCTCTTCGGCCCACCTGATCTTATCCTTCCAGAATACCCACCCTACTGTCTCCCCCCTCCCACCCGCCACCACAGCATCAGTGAATCCCAGTGTCCCGGCCTCAACCATTTCCTGGTAACCTGTTCCAGTCGTCGATTATCCTCTGAGTAAAGAGAAACTTCCTGGTATAAATATTGGCGTGCGTTGGGACTGCTTTGCATTGAGCTGAGGTGACTGGAGTCGAAAGAAAAAACAATGCAGGAAGTGAAAGGCAAGCAGACTGTCTTTCAGGGAGCGGAATTTGCACTGTTAAATGGCCCAATTTTTCAGCCGCTGTGTTGTTTCAATTATTGCCTCATTCCTGACATATAACGATTACAAAATGATGTACTCTTCATCCTTTTACTCCACGGAGTTCATTACTGTTCTTACATTCTTTTCTACCAAATTAAGTTTTTATGAGTCGAGCTAACTAATCATTCTTAAGCAGGGTATTTGGTTACTTTATTCCTTGAAATATGTGCCTCTGCGAAATTAAAAGAGAGCTGTATATTCTGGGGATGCGTATTAATTATTTCCTTTGAGTTCCCTGAACATAAGGTGTAAATACACATTGCACCCCATTTACCCCACCCCCCCCCCCCCCCCCCACCCCCAATACAGGTCTGCAGTTGTTATATCTTGAGTTAACTGATTGTGGCTTTTAATTATCTGAACACGAGACATGCAAAGCCGTGCGGGTTTCGCTGTCTGCATCTCGTACTCAGCATGTGGATCTTATTGCTGTGGATCTTGCAGAAAATCCCTTGCTTCCTCCCCCCACCCCCCCCCACACAGACAAAAAGGGAATAAATTATTTAAGGCAGCCATTTGAAGGGGAATTGGACATAATAGAGTCATCAAGCATGGCACAATCTAAACAGGACAGTCCAATCCGTCTCAAAATAAACCAGCGCTCTCATTTCCCAAGCCCCTTCCCCTTATCCCACTCTATATGTAACCAGCGCTAAATCCATTGGGAATTTGAGGGAAAGCATGTGACTCTCTACCCCTCCCTCTCTCCCCCCACCACCCCCTCCCCGCCTGATCAGAACCAAGTGAAGAATTACCCGATTCAAGCATCCAGCTATCCCCCAGGATTAATTATTTCGCAGTTGTGTTACACCTCAATCAATAACGCTTCCCACTGCCTTCTGCAGAGTTTATGTCATGGGAGGGTGGGGAGAGGGGAGGGGGTGTCTGAGAGACTGGCACCCACACGTGTACCGGTGAAATTCACACCTGGATACAATATCTCCTTGTGTCACCTCGACTGTCACATAGGGAGTGATTTTAATAGAGAGGGAATAGAGTGCAGCAAAGGCGTTGAAAAAAATTAAAAACCCGCGAGCCAGAGAGCGAGAGAGAGAGAGAGAGAGAGAGGGAACGGATTTCCTTGCAGTTTGCTGTTCAGAATAAACCTCCGGTATTTCTGACCCTGCGTCCTAACATCCAGCAGTGCCTCAGCGCCCTGACATTATAATAACAATAAATAATCCTTGCATTTGATACAGCGCCTTTGTCACGTCTTCGAGACGTCTCAAAGCGCTTCACAGACCATACGGCAAAGTAAATTGATTGTGTCTTTTGTGGGCGAAATGATGCACGTTAAGACGTTATAAAATCAATAAGAGCCGTGGCCCCAGAGCACGCCAAAATACTTTCATCTTCCAACGCCGTTTACAAACCCAGCAATCTTTAACACTTGGAGATTTGCTCCAGTGCAAAATGTAAGTCGAAAAGGGGGAAAAAAATGCTGCTGTAATATATATAATCTGCATGACAGCCTTATCCACTGAGTGAATTCAAAGGCAGGCATACAGACCTAGCGGTCAGAGAAATCTCTTCAAACAGCTCAAAGTGCATCTTTACAGATTAGATCGGAACTGCTCAGTTATGCTCAGTAATGGCTCTGTGCTTTACCCGGATTGTTCTCTGCCTTGAACACATCAAATGGCACAGACCCAGAATGTGGAGTAGAATCTGACTTCATCAGTGAGAATATCCCTCCAGCTCTGTCCCGCTATTTTGGCTCATCGGCAGGACTTGGAAGGGCAGACCAGTCACTGGAGGTAGAATTGTCCCTCTCAGCTCCTGCTAACCCTGCAACCCAAAGCCCTAATGGGTGGGGTGATCCTCGCTGGACAAGCAGCAGGAACGCTTGTCAGACAGTGATATCAATGGCAAGCTATGCGGTTTTAGCTGGTTAGACTCCAGCAGTTACCCCCAACACACACTCTGGGATCCCCAAGCCTTGTTTCTTGCCAACCTGTGCCCCATACTTTTACTTGCACTCTAAGCCCTTTCGAGCTCTCTGAGTTGTTGCCCAAGGTGAAGGGCGCAATGTTCATGCAAGTGGCCGTTGTCGAATTCACGTGGCAATTGATACCAGTAAGAAAGTCAAGCACTCTGGGATGCTACACTGCACGAGGGGCACTATATAAATGCAAGGTGTTGTTGTCGGTGGTAGTTTGCTACCAGACCCATTAAAAGCCATATGAAGAGAGGGCGAGGATATAGATGTTCTTCCCTTGCCACTTGCGAAGCTGGCACAATTGCTTCTTTGCATGGTTGTGGTTTGCTGTGTGCTCACGAGTCTTAACAAACACTCGGGTCAATAAAACGGACAGATTGGATTAAAGATTTCACCCCCGCTTGAATGCTTGCCTTGGCCGCTGATGAAATTGGCTTCCGTGCTATGAAATAGCATCTGTTTATATAATGCCTAGAGACGCAAAGCGATGCCCTTAAAAATAACAAATCCAACCTGCGGTTGAAGATTTCCCGCAGCGCTAGATAAAGGAGCAAAGCATAGAAACCAGGAATATCAGTTGAACAACTTCTCCCACCTACTGCCCTTGCAGTTGGGTTCAGCATCTCTCAGTGCTCAACGCCGACAAGTGCTGGGTCGCAGTGCCATATTTCACTCACCCAACAGAAGGGCACTTAAGACCATGTCTTCAAAACAGTGGACCCGCACTGTCAAACCACACATGGTTTGGAAGGGAGTGGAGTGGAGTTTGAAGCGGAGAGCCTCCGTGCGGGAAATTATTTTGTAATATCACGCAGAACGGTGAAACACCACAGAGAGTGGGGGAGAATGGAATATGGAGCCAGAAACCCAGCGTGTGAACTCTTTTGATATCCCTGTGTGTGTGTGTGTGTGTGTGTGTGTTGGGGGAGTGGGTGGGGTTGGGGACGGGGGGGTCGGTGCTGGGGGTTTGGGTACAGCTGAAAAATGCTGATGAATATACAAGAGTTGCAGTGTCTCAAAATAGAGCAGAGATAGAAGAGAAAAAACACAGACATGAATTTCATAAAGAGAGGCAGGCACACAGATTATTGAAAGAGCAGGGCAATGGATTTTTTTTTGGGTGAGTGGGGGTCGGTCTGACACATGGGGAAACCCATCACCACGCTTGAAATTGCCCAAACCAAACCGAGAATTCCACGCACCCCACCTATCGAGGCAGATCCCCGAGATATAGATTGGAATGGAACGTGCACTCTTCCCCCTGGAGGGATGCGTCCTGCTTACCGAATTACCGGACAGTATGAGGCGTTGGTTGGCAAGCCTTTTGGGTGACCCCAGAGCGTGAGTTGGGGGTAGCTGCTGGAGTCGGAACTGGCTCGAAAACCCGCGCACAGTTTGGCATTGAACGCGCTGTCCTGCAAGCCTTCCCGCTGCTTGTCCTGCCGGGACCACCATACGCCATTAGTGCTTGTGCCCCGGAGAAATGGTAAGGCAGCTCGGTCGTTGGACGCTGACTTATTGCTAAGCTTGTTGAAGTGACGAGGCAGAAGCTGCTTACTGGGACATAAACGCAGTCGTTCTATATTAGATATATATTTAACAGCCATCTAAAATATTAATGAACACTTCTGATATCTTTTTCCCTCCCCTACTTAAGCAATGAACCTGCTCGGTCTGAACTGGCAGCTTCAACCGGCGGAGGAACCTATGTCTAAAAAAGGAGTAAGAACAGGAGGTCCAAGTGATGTAACAATAGCTCCATCTGGTGGCAGAGGTAATATATCTTCAGTGCGTTATGTGCTACTCAACCTATGTGTGTAACGCAGCTTTAAGGAGCGCGTTCCACCTAAATCCTGATGTTGTTTGGTCAACGTCTCATCTGACGCAGAGGAAAAAAAGTTGTATCCGCCTTTGACTCTTTTCGACGCAAAAGGCCTCTTTTCTTTTGACGTTCTGGGGTTTGCACACCCCCCACACCCTCCCCCTCCGCCCCAAATCGCTTGCATTTACACCGTGTCTCACTCCCGCCGTGTGTTTGAGGGTGAGAATGTGTGCTGCAAAGCCGACTGCATGAGCTGTTCCTCCCCCCCCCCCCCCCGCCCCCTCTCCCCCGCCATCCACACCCCCCGCTAAGGTTTTGGTTCGCAGTGATTGTTTTCAAAAGGAACCATTTATTTCTCTCTTCCCCCTGCCTTTGCGTCTTTCCCCCAACCTTCTGTTCCCTTCTTTCAGTGCAGTACACAACGGTGCCAACCTGCCACCCTGTTGAGTTGTCTGACAGTCCAGTGATTCATTGCACCACCCAGTCATAAGATCACAAGAGAAGCTCCGAGTGAAGAAGATTCTTTGACCCACTTGATCTCATCCTTGCAGAATGTCCATCCTCCCGGCCTCCCATTACAGCATCCAGCTGTTTCTTAACCTCGAACAGCGTTCTGGCTTTTACCACCTTCCCTGCTAACCCCCCCACTGCCCCACAACCCCTTCCCTCGCCCCGCTCCTAGACCGTAGCCTGATAAGTTTAACGTTTACATTTAAGAAATTAATTGCTAGCAATCTTTTAATACATGAAATATATTAGCAAGTGCTTTGAGGCCGCTACTCTGTGCGAGGAGCGCGATATAAATGCAAATTGTTGTTCTTGTTGTTGAAATATCGTTGTTTAAAAGAGTTTGTCCGATGAATGGGTAAGAGCTATGGAACAATAGTGCTGTCCCCTTCATCTGATTTCTCTCCTTTGGCGCACGTTGTAGTCGAATATTCGTCTCTTGTTTTGGCGTCTGTCTGAATCTACCTGGGACTGCAGGTGCTGGTACTGAGTTACAGACGGGGAGGGAATGGAACAGATTGCCGATGTGACCTGTACAATTATCAGTCTATATCTGTTCGGATGGACGCTAAAGATCCCTTGGCACTATTCGAAAAGAGAAGAGAGTTTCTCTCTCCTGGTGCTGCGACCAACAAAACCCCAAATAAAATTGATTGGTCACTTCATGGCTGTTTGTGGGACATTGTTGCGCACAAATTAGCTGCTGTGTTCGCTTACAAAATACACAGTCACTGCGCTTTACAGTATATCCGTAGATACCCAGTATATTTCCTGCTGTGTGCAATTGGCTGCCACGTTTTGCCCACAAAATATACAGTCAATTCACTTCACAGTATATTCTGTGAAGCGCTTTGAGACGTCTCAACGACCTGATAAGGCGCTATAACAAATGCAAGAATTATTATTATTATTAGCCTGCGAAATACTTTGGGTCGTCCTCCTGACGAGAAAGTTGATGTAACAAACACAAGGATTACTATTTATTATGTTCATTGAGATAACGTGTGGGATGTGTTTCTGTGTCTGCTGCTCAGCAGTTGACGTGAGGAAACCTACTTCATTTTCCGTTGCACTTTGCAATGGAAAGCAATAGCCCTGAACCTGCTTTAGATGTGTTCTGACATTGCAAGCTGTTGACTAACGCTCTGAATGAACTGCACATTCCTTCTACTCTCTGTTTCCCTTTCTAATGCAAACTAGAATTTGAATAAAACAAATAAGCCTCTCATTGAAATCCACCTCTCAATCACATCTTGCATATTCATGTATTTATTTGGATTTATCTTAAATATTTTTTTAAAAACTCCCAATAAAGCAGCTATTTGTACAGCTGGCAATTGTAGCGCACACAAACACTAAAAAAAAGGGGCAAATTACATCGCATTAAACATATAATTAGCAGGGATCTATACTAGCATTCTGGATTCCGCACTAAAACAGACTTAATTAAGTGATTTTTTGCCTTACAATCCCGCAAACCCTTTCACCACCTCTTTGTTTATAATAATAATCCTTGCATCTGATACAGCGCCTTATCACGTCGTCGAGACGTCTCAAAGCGCTTCGCAGGGTAGATTGTGAAGTGGATTGACTGCGTATTTTGCAGGGCTCGGCTCATGCAATGATCTGGGTGGCTGCAAAGTTGCTCGGAAGGCCAGTCGCTGAGGGAGTGCGTTGTCTCAGGAACAACTCAGAGCAGTAACCAAACCAGACTCAGAATTCCACGTCTGCGTGTAAATCTGGAATGGAATGTGCGCTCTCTCTCTCTCTCCCCGGATGGAAGTTAAGGAGGCATTGAGCTTGCCTAACCCTGGAGAGCATTAGACGCAGGTTTAGCGAGAGCCAGGCATGGGGGAGAACCTCAGAGATTATGTGTTGGTGGGGGAGAATGGGAGGAGTGTGTGTGTGTGGAGTGGGGGGGGTTGGGGGTGGTTAACGACTGGAAATTATCCAGCTAAAACCACATAGCTTGGTGTTCTGGAAACGGAAAGTAGCCAGACTTTTTCCCTCTGCTCCATCTTCCATGGCAATGGCCACCTTTTCCCCCTCCCACCCCCTCCCACCCCCCTGGAGTCAGCTCCTTTTAGAATCTCTGAGTACGGCTGAGAGGAGGGATGCGAGTTTTGATAGCTCTCCGTCTCCCAGTCGTCAATGGCAGATTGCACGTCGATGAGAGGCTAAGTACCCGATCGTTAGTACTCTTGTGCAAATGTCACCACGTGCCGCTGATGTGGCCGGCACTGACAGGCTCAGCAGTGTTGTCAGGCTGCTCCTACGCACGTCCAGTTTGCCGAACAAATGTAGCTACGTCTTGAGAGAACGCTAGATCGGTTTTTATTTCGTTCTCCATTCCTGCCTTCGGAGATTCCCTCTGTCCTCCAGCCCAACCAGCCTGGTGCAGCTGGTACTTTCGCTGTGTCTCGATCCCTTCCCTTGCCTGCCCTCCTGACAATTGCCAGTGAAATGATTCAGTGGTGACCGGTCCATTCCTCGCTCTCCACCACTTAGAGTGCGATGTTGGTTGTCGAAGCTATTGGCGTTGTCCGTAAGGCTGTCCATCCTTGCTGAACTGGTGGCCTGACCACACTTTGTAGGGGAGGGTCCTTTTGCACCGTAGATAGTGTCTTAACCCCTTTTCCCTGAGACGTTACCAAAGCTCCTTCCCGCTGCAGAAAGGGACGTGGGAGGAACAAAGCGAATCTCTGTCTCAGCAATTGATAACCAACAGCGAAAGAGCAAAGCGAGGCAATCAAGAGTAGAGTAGGAAAGATGTGAGGGGTGGGGGGGGGGGGAGGGCAGAGTTGAGACATGGAGAGCAAATCATTGTCTAATGTACAAACAGATAGATTTGTACACAAGTGGCCTTTGGTTTGATGAATCATTTCGCCATCATTGACTCGAGGAATGGTTTTACTCTCTGTCCATAAAATCATCTGAAGCTCCTCAGTGAGATTGCTGCCGTACACTCTTCTCCCCTGACCTACGCTGGTTGTGTGATTAACCGGCAAATAAATGGTTTCTCAAGGAACCTGCAGCGATTGATTGCCGTTCAATAATCCCTCCAAATGGAGCGCATTCGGGGTAATCTCATTGGTGATTCAGATGGATTATCAACCACCAAACTGCTTTGTGATGTAACGTAGCGTGGTTTTACTTTCCTCAAATCATCCCTTTCTGCTCCAATCTACAGCCTTTTTTTAATACCTGATCTAAGCATTGCCTGATCCATTACTACTTACTGTTCATTGTCTTGGCTCTTGTGCACGCCATCTATTTATCCAGATTTATCCTGATCCATCTTCTGTCTTGGCCTATCCTGCACTATCTAGGGAGAGTTTTTAATAATAATAATAATAATAATAATAATGCATACACTTCAAACGGCACCTTTTCACACATCGGCCTCAAAGTGCTTTGCAGGATTTACTTGAAAGTGTAGTCCATGTTGTTGCAGTTCCAAGCGCAAGAGTAGTTTTGAAAACTCCAGTCCCAGGGTTCCTCCGACTTGCTCCCTTGCCCCCTTCCCCTCCTTAGGGTATGTCTCAAAACGTACTTCTTCAACGGTGCTTTCGGTCATCTCTCCCCTTCTCCCCACGCCCCCGCCACCAGCTCCCCCACTCATCTCCAGTGCTCAGCCAGAACCGTCAAGCTCTTTGTGACATCTTCCCGACGCGAACGGCACCATTTGCGCTTAAATCGGTGTCAAACCCAGGAATCATTCTTGTTATAAATCCTGTGTTGTGTTGGGAGAACGCTTTGCCCCCTAACAGAGCAAGTGATTCGACAGAGAGCGACAAGCCAGTGTGTTTACAGGAAACGCTTGTCAGCAATTCATTTCAAAAATATATACATTTTGCAGCGTTGGTTGGAGGTTATTTCTATGTGGTTTCAGTGTGTGGTCTTTCGACAGCTTTAGACTCTGCGGACTCGCTCAGTTGACGGATCGCGGCTCTGTTTGGCGCGAGGGATCCTGGAGACAAAACGATTGCACACCATCAAAACTCAAGAGAGTTTGCTGCCGACAATTCTGAAATTACATAAGAGAGTTAATCCGAAGCCACCGGAGACCCGAGTTACGTAGCTGTGAGGAAATCTCCACTCGGGAATATGGTCAAAGGGGGAATTGGATTGTGTCAGCACATCCGTATTCCTGCTCTGTTCCACAGCGCGAGGCTCCCGGGATTGCTCCTGTCTCGGTGGATTCGTTCGTCCCATGTCGATATGCCGACTCGATATTCAGATCCCAAAAGGGATCAACATCAGTCTGGACAGGCATTTCTTGGGATGAGACATGGGGTCCTGTAGCTCAGCAGTTAGCGCAGTCACTAACCGGTGGTGATTAATCCCACTCACGCCCTACCCCCCCCCCCACCCCGAAAAATTATATGGTCATCCACTCCACGACTTTGTGGGACACTGCTGTACGCAATTGGCTACCACGTTTTTAATAATAATCCTTGCATTTGATACAGGCGCCTTATCACGTCTTTGAGACGTCTCAAAGCGCTTCACAGGATATGCTGCAAAGTGAATTGACTGTATATACTTTGTGGGCGAAACGTGGCAGCCAACTGCGCACAGCAGCGTCCCCACAAAACAGTCGTGGACTGAGCGAGTGGAAGGGGATGAACCTTTGATAACTTAATGATGCCCAGAAAATTCAGAGTCAATCCAGTTTAGAATACGTTCTGCGAAGCGCTTGGAGACATCTCAACGATGTGATAAGGCGCTGTATTTCAAACGCAAGGGTTACCTCTTGTTATTAAATCGAGCTCCTGACTGCCTGTTCAGGTGCGTTCGGGATTTAAGTCAGGATTGCAGGATAGGCAGAGAGGGAGGGATACAGAGGGGAGCAGAGAAGCAGACAGTGTGTAGTAACAACCTATTTTGCTGCGGACTGCCTTGTATCAAAGTGCACCTGATGTCGCTGTACACGTCCCTTGCTGGGCCGTTTACTGAACAGCGATTGGGATGAGGAACCCATTGACGGTTTATATCCTTCCCTTTGCCCAGAGCCTGTGAAGTCAATTGTAAGACTCCCGACCGCTACCCTCCTGCCTGCGATCAGATAGTTCACCGCAGGCCAGGTATCGAACCTCCGACCTTCTGGCCCTCATTGACTCAGTGCGACAGCAGGTGGCTGCCTTTGGCTTTGCCCGCAAAGCTATCGAGCGCGCGCGCGCGAGAGAGAGAGAGAGAGAGAGAGAGAGTGAGAAAGAGAGATAGAGGATGAGGGGAAAAAGAAGCCAGAGCTGCCCTTCTTTACGAACGTATTCAAGAAAAATAATTGCCGCAAATCCTCTCTGCCTTCCGCGGGTCTGTAGTGCAAATCGGCCCCCGCCAGATCACAGCATTCCGAGTTATTCCGTTCAAAGCCTAAATCTAGATTGATGTCTGGTCAAAGCGATACAGATTGAGCAGCACTAATTTGCGAGGAATCAAGTCCCACTGTGCGGTTCGCCCCGAGGGGAGAGTGGCTCACAGCGCAAGTCACAGCTGTGCGAGTCGTTCTGTTTGCAAATGGAAGCGTCGCAGAAATAAAGCGTCTGGTGGGTTCTCTCTCTGCCCTCTGATCACAGTCAAATTATTCATCGGGGTCTGTTCACTGTTTAACAGCAAACAGCAGGGTTAGAGACGCAGGTCGGGCACATTGAGGGATGAAGAGAAAGGGCCCCCTAGCAGAATTTTTTTCCTCTGCTTTTTTTTATATATCTTCCAGCCGCTTCGGGGAATAAGCGTCGGCGCAGTAAAACACAAGAGCCGAGCGCACAGTGAAATTTATTTCCCGCAAACTGTTGGTGCCATAAACTAATGAGTGTTTGTTAATGTGAAGGCTTTGTGTCGGATTTCAGGCTGGAGACTGGCAGCGGCAAAACAGCTTTGTACAATAAACCTCATCAACTCTCCGAAGGATACAACTTACTAACTGGCTAACTAATTAATTAACTAACTAACTAACTAACTAACTAACTGACTGACTGACTGACTGACTGACTAACTGTTGTCGGCCTGCAAATTGCACAGTCGGTACACTTTACGGTAAATCCTGCAAAGCACTTCGAGGGCTCCTCCCAACTTGAAAGACGCTATCAAATGGAAAGATTATTATTACTAACTAACTGACTGACCGACCCACCAACCGACCAACCCATCGACCGGGACTCCAAGCTCTTGTCTGTGCTTCCCTTATCAATGAGGTCCATGCTGTGCCGATAGAGGCTTCTCATGATGCAGTGATACAACCCAAGGTTGTTGGGTGTCAATAAAATCCCAACCCGTCTTATAAAGAGGCCAAAGTAGTTGACTTCCGGATCATTTAGTTACCGCCGACATCGCCTCCTGTGCGCTGCACACTGCTCAATGCTGGTGACCCAGGGGTTTGGAGTGAGCAGGAAGCCAAAACGTCCGACGTCCGTCCGGGTCATTAGGTCTTCACAGCGCACAGGAAGTGACCTCGACGGCGACCCAGTGATCCAGAAGCCCTTCGTTTATAGCGCAGGAGCCGGTCAAGGCGTGGGAGACAAGATGCCAGTCAGCCGGGCTTTAGTTATAAAGTTAGACGTTCAAGTTATAAACAAAGCAGCGCTTCAAATGACTGCATTGCCATTGTTTTCTTATCATAAATTCTTCCAGACAATTTTACGTTTGTATATTCATCCCAAAGTGCATCTACCTTAAGCACTAAACCGGTCAAGACAGTCTTAAGAGCAAGACCGTGCTTTGCTGGGCCACATATTTTGCGAGCGTTCTTGGAAACGAAACAGATATAGTAGCGATTCTTTGCTGGAAATAGGATTCCTAATAATTTCATTGTCCGAGTGTGAGCACTGATGTTTCCCTGAGGTGTCGCTCTTTATTTTTATAGGGACGGCGGATGTTAAAAACAGCAGCATTGATCTGGGGAATGTGGACATCGGTCGAAGAGTCTCACAGGAAGTGCCTCCAGGGACGTTCTGGCGATCGCAGTTATACATCGATCGGCCCCAGTTCCTGAAGTTTAACGTCTCTCTGGGAAAAGACGCCCTCTTCGGTCTGTACATAAGGAAAGGGCTTCGTCCTTCACACGCTCAGGTAAGCGCTCGCAAGCAAAGGCCCCAGTTTCATTCATTCATGTCTTGTTACTTATTGCACTGTGTAAAATTCATCCGAAATGAAAGTGGGATCTCAGCGAGAAGCAATTAATGCTGGTGGGAATGGATGAGGGAAACTCACTGCTGGTGGAAATAGATGAGGGACAATTACTTTCTAAATGCTTAACTTACTGTTGATTAAAAAAAAACGAACGGGAAGCAACATTAATGTTGACCATAATTCTTGCATTTGATACAGTACCTTATCTGCACGCAATTGGCTGCCGCGTTTCGCCCAACAAAATACGCAGTCAATACAATTTACAGTATTACTCTGTGAAACGCTTTGAGATGTCTCGATGCTGTGAGGAGGCGCTGTATCAAATGCAAAGATTATTATTATTGTTATCATCGCATTGAAACATCTCAAAGAGGCTTCTGCAAAGCGTGTATTTACAGGCAAGAACTGGCCCTCTATATCGCTGCACGCTGTAAAGGAACCACTTATTATTCACTTATCACACACACTCATTTACATCCAGGCTCGTCTATGCAAACTCCTTGATAATCCAGAACTCTGCAGCCCGTGTCCTCTGCCGCACCAAGCTCAGAGATCCCTATCACCCCCATCCTTGCCCAACTCTACTGGCTTCCCATCACACAGAGGATACAGTTCAAGATCCTGGTCCTCACTTTCAAAGCCCTCCACGGTCTTACTCCCCTCTACCTCTGCGACCTCCTAGCCCCCTACCATCCCGTCCGCTCCCTCCGCTCAGTGGGCTCCGGCCTGCTTCATGTCCCCCGCCTCGCTCACCCCACCATTGGCGGGCAGACATTCAGTCACTCTACACCCACCCTCTGGAACTCCATCTCACAGTCCCTCTGCCTCGCCCCCTCCCTTGCCTCTTCGACCGTGCTTTTGATCTCCGTGCTTCCGCCTCGGCCCGCTCTCCACTCTCCCCAATCCCGACCTCTAGCTCAGGTCCAAAACTCTTGACAGTCCAGCACCTTGGGACGTCCTCCTGACCTGAAAGGCGCTATACATATGTCATTTTGTTGTTGTTGTTATCAGTTCTAAAGCAAAAGTTATAAATGAGTGAATTGTTTTTTCAAAGCATCAGATAAAATCCCACTGGGTTTTGAGTCTGAGAGGGACATTAAGAAAATGTTACTTTGTGTACGAAAGTTCTGCTTCGACCATTTAACATGACATTTGCTGTGCTGACCATCACCAGTGATATTATCACAGTGTCTGAATTTTCTGGGCATCGTCAAAGTTATCAAAGGTTCATTCCCTTCCACTCACTCAATCCGCGGCTGTTTGTGGGACGTTGCTGTGCGCAATTGGCTGCCGCATTTCACCCGCAAAATATATACGGTCAATACACTTTACAGGATAGCCTGTGAAGCGCTTCGAAACCTCTCGAAGACGTGGTAAGGCGCTGTGTCAAATGCAAGGATTATTATTTATTTTTATTATGTTCCCCATGGGCCCGAAACTGGTGCGTAAGTGGCCGTTGAACCTGACACCCCCCGATGTAGCTCCTGTTCGGACGGGTACCTGTTAAACTGAACTTTAAACACCTGTCGCCTTCTCCCCACCCCCCACCCCCACCCACCCCACTTTGTGCCCTCAGTACGATTACATGGAGCGTCTCGACGGCAAAGAGAAGTGGAGTATGGTGGAGTCGCCCCGGGAACGCAGGAGCATTCAGACCTTGGTCATCAATGAAGCCGTCTTCGTTCAGTACCTGGATCCAGGGACCTGGCACCTCGCCTTCTACAACGACGGGAAGGAAAAGGAGTTGATTTCCTTCAACACCGCTGTCTTGGGTAAGTAAGAGGTGGTGCAGGAATCCTACAGGCCCCTCATAGGACGGCCGCCCTCTCCCACTTCCAGGTCGCAAACACCGATCAGAGATCAGGAAGGGAAGCTCATTCGATCCACTGAAATCGTACCAATAATAACCCTCGCATTTGATACAGCGCCTGATCACGTCTTCGAGACGTTCTCAAAGCACTTCACAGCATATACTGTGAAGTGAGTTGACTGTAATCCTTGCCTAGTGCCTGAAATAGCCTAAAACATAATATTAATTACACCCGCCGCACACTGACAGCAGCTCCTACCTCAATTTAGCTCTGTTAGCAGCTTCTCCACACTCCTAGTCCCAGATTCTCACGTGAGGTGACTTTCCAAACCCGACACCTATATAACCCTTGCGGGTTGAAGTGACATTTGTCGTCTTGCTGGCTTACACACCGGGGGAGGGGGTGTGTGGGGGGGTGGGGGAATACCATCCTCACAGCTCGATAGCATCGCTATACTCTGGTGTTAATTTAAAAGCGATCAAATTCCACCCTGATGCTAACCAGACCCATTCCCCACCCCCCCCCACCCACTCTCGCTAAAAATAAATATTAATAACTTTCTTTTTCAAATGGCGGCTATCTGTCACATCGTCGTGGCGTGGCGCCTGTCTAAATTCATAGTCTCCTACGACCTCAGTCGCAAAAAATTTGGAGAGCATTGAAGGAAGGAAAGAGTAATAACAAGAATAATCCTTGCATTTGATATAGCGCCTCATCACATCCTTGAGACGTCTCAAAGCTCTTCACAGGATATACTGTAAAGTGTATTGACTGCATATTTTGTGGACGAAACACAGCAGCCGACTGCACACAGCAGTGTCCCACAAGCAGTCGTGGATTGAGTGACCAAATTCTTATTTCTCAAAATCTTTTGAAGGGTTTATTAACCCCGGAAAGCGATCTGCCAATCGACTAACAACCGGGTTCTGACTTACTGCTGGGTAAAAACAGAGGCGCGTGGAGTAAGGAAACTTGCCTAAGCTTTTGTCCCACCCGGTAATCAAACCCGGGTCCTCTCGCATGCCAGGCGAGTGCTCTAACCATCACGCTATGTGAGTTGTGAGCACCGGGGAGTTGCTGTGCTGTGAAAACTATTGTTCTGTGTTTTTCTCTGTTCTCTGTGGGGCTGCTGTCTGTTGGCTTTGTGTTGACAGAAAAACTCGGCTGCACGTTGGAGGCTGTGAAAAAAATGCGAATGAGAGTCCTGTAGCTCAGTGGTTAGCAATAAATAGGAACCCGGTTGTTTGTCGATTGAGCGGATCACTTTTCTGGGGGTAACAATTCCTTAAAAAAAAACATTAATTGGTCACTCAATCCATAACTGCTGTGGGACACTGCTGTGCGCAATTGGCTGCCGCGTTTCGCCCACAAATATACAGTCAATTCACTTTACAGTATAGGCTGTGAAACGCTTTGAGACATCTCGAGGACATGATAAGGCGCTATAATCAAATTCAAGGATTATTATTATTATTATCATATGAGAGGAACATATACACCGTGAAGCTACAATGGACAAATATTATTCGGGGAAGTGTCCTGTCTGTGCCTCCATTGGAAAATCACATTGGGAAAGATTTCACAAAATGATCGCTTCTTTTTGACCATTTTCGAGTAAGCCCCGACTCACCCTCCATAGTCACCTCTGCCGCTTGTGGAACACTTTTAGGGAAATTCCAGAAAACTGTTCAAGTAGAAAAAAAAACGTGCCCCATCTGTATATCCCTCGCATTTGGTGTAACGCCTTATCACATCATGGAAATGTCAACACAAAACACTGCAGCTCAACTACACACACACACACACACACACAAACATTGCCAATTTCTCACCCACCTACAATTCGCCTTTCAGGACACCCGCACAAGCCTCTACTTACTCTCTCACCCGTTCTTCTTCAGACCTTTCCTTGAGCGCTCTTGTTCTGACCGAGCAACTTTATTGCATGTCACGCTGCTGTTTAACCCGTGTTGCTATCTTCAGTTTGTCTTTGAGCGCCGGCACTCTACAAGGTCTATCAAGCCTCATGTTTAGGTCCAAGGTCTGTGAAATCTGCTCCGAGCTCAGGCAATTTACTCAGTGTTTGATCTCGGCATCATTATTGTGGACAGTACAGGGGATATAAGTTATGTTTTGCACGGACATTGCTTTGTCAGGATCAGAGAGTAGTTCACTTACTGTTGAAGGTTTCGGAGGTTGACAACACCGTCACGCTGTGATAAGCTGTGAGCCTAATAGACTCTCAGAGTAGTCCCTTTTGGCTGTAGATGCCTGCCTGCTGAGGAAGACAAAGCAAGTAAATCGAATGGACAGGTCTAAGCCGCAGGAAGAGACAATGACAGTAATTGGGCAAAAAGGAAACACAAAGAGCAAAGTGCTGTTCAGAACCTCTGCTTCGGGCATCCATTACCAGTCATTAAATATCCACAGAGAGTGTAATGGCTTAAGTAAGCAGTGCTTCATGTTAAATATCTAAAGCCGGCCACAAACTGTCAAATAGGCAACAACACACGAAGATGTACTTTCCAACAGGTCCTTGGGTCAAATCAAATTAATTCCTAGTGTCTAAGGTTCCTCTCACTCCATTTGTTGTTTTTTTTTAAAAAAATTAGCGTTATATTTTGAACTGTTCATTTTTTTTCGGTTTGTGTCAGTGCCACCCTCCTTAGGTTGAAGTTACAGAGAAAGAGCACGAGATGCTTTGCGCAGTAATTTACTTATTTATTTGGTCCAATCCAATCTGTTATTGCTACAATAATTTATTTCATCCGCAAAAGACACAGTCGCCGACTTTACAGTAAATCCTGCAAAAGGCTTTGAAACATCCACCTGACGGGAAAGGCGCTGTATCACAGACACGGATTATTATTAAACTAACAAGTAATAAAATGTTTACACGTAGTTTACACACCTTGTATAAATGATAATAATAACCACTGTTCATGTAGCACCTATCAAATAAACGTCACAAAAGAAAATTGTCTAGAAATTAAAGTAAATGTTTCTATTGGTGGCCTTTACACTGATCGTACCTACAAACTCAAACCAACTGTGTGTTGCCTCTGGCCCTAAATGTAAGAGTAATATTATGACAGAGCAGAGAATAGGGAGTTCTGTAGCTCAGTGGTTAGAGCACTCGCCTCGCAAGCGAGAGGACCTGGGTTTGATTCCCGGCCAGGGCGAAATGTTGGGCAAATTTCCTTACTCCACATTCCTCTGTTTACCGAGCAGTGAGCAGGAACCCAGTTATTAGTCAATTGGCAGATCTCTTCTCTCAGGGGTAATAATTCCTTCCACAAAAAAAAGAATAAATTGGTCACTCAATCCACGACTGTTTGTGAGACGCTGCTGTGTGCAATTGGCTGTGGCGTTTCACCCGCAAAATGTACAGATTTTGCAGTATATTCCGTGAAGCGCTTTGAGACGTCTCAAAGACGCGATAAGGCGCTATGTCAAATGCAAAGGTTATTATTATTATTAATAGCCCCCATGTTGATGTTGGATCCCGAAAGGGAATACCGAATTGCAGTGGCCGGACTGGGCAGCTTTGACTTTCCCCGAAAGAAAAAAAGTGTTTTTAGATTTTAGTTTTTGTTTTCGATTTTTCTTAAATGTTCAGATGTTTCCCCCGGAGTCGACTGACCTTGTTTATGGCATTATCAGATTCCGTGCAGGAGTGCCCTCGCAATTGCCACGGCAACGGAGAGTGCGTTTCCGGAGTGTGCCACTGCTTTCCAGGATTCCACGGGGCTGACTGTGCTAAAGGTACCACATTGGTTTCTGCCTTATAACCCGAAAGGCCGTTCACGTTGCTTCATATAATGGGACATGTCCACGGCAGCAGTGTGACGTTAGTCAAGGGAAACTGTGGCGTAGAGGGAACCACTGGGAGCTGGAGTCACTTGCTCTTAACACAGGGCCATTGGGATCATTGGTAAACGATTCCAACGCCCTTTTTGCTCCTTTATTTGCGAGTGAGACGGGGCAGCGGGAGTCAATGCCCTTAAAAAGACCAGGTTGTCTTCGAACTTAAGCTCGCACAGAATTCAGGAAAATTCCTAAACTCAGTCTCGCTTTGGCAGCCGGTCCCTTTCGAGAACTCTGGCAAACCGGGCTTCCAAACGCTAAGGCTGAATTGTGGAATTTCTCACTATTTCTTGCTGCACTTAAATCTTGAGATGAAATGGTCTTAGAGGCTAAGACGAGATGGAATTTCAGGCCTATATTTAGCCACCAACACTGGTCTATTGGTCTACTGTAATGGTATTCAGCTGTTTGGTTTGATTCGAGGATGCTCAGGTATCTGTAGGTATTTGTTCTCCGTTGCTTGCCAATACACCACAGTTCCCCTTTAAACGAATAGAATAAAATAAAATTCAAAGTTGTCCTTTATCCCGCAGCATTGTTTTGATGTATCTAGCTCACAAGTTCAGGCAAACCCAGGTGAAAATTTTTTACCACTGTGACAACATGTAACATACTGGGAAATAACGTGACAAATCTTTCTGTTCAAACGATTGTTTTGAAGGATCTCCCTCCTTTCCTTGAATTTTCCAGGCTAGACATGCGTTGTCTTCTGTTGGGTCTGTCTGTCCGTAGCGAGCTCCATGTGGGACTGCCTGATCTTGGCCTCGGAACAAGAATTTTCATTTCCTGGCTCCTTGTGGTTAAGCTAATGCTCACAGTGCTGCTGAGATCATGTGGGGAGTGCGGACATGAACCCATTAGTGTGTCGGTGCTGCAATACACAGTGTCCTCGTGCACCGATCATTGTTACTTCTGCTGTTGTATCTCCACACAAGGGTCACAGGCGACAGGAACATGAAGGGATTCATTCCAACATACCCAACTCACAATTAAACCCCAGCACCTCGATTGTTTAATTTGTGAGCGCAAAATCCTAAAATGATCGCATCCAGTAACGCATTTGTTCCGCGTTGGTCACCCCACCGCTCTGTTGTAGCTTAGTTTTGAAGACATTTCCCCCCCACCCTCAAGTCTCATTAATGACCAGAGAGCAGGTTGCTATACTGTACTATACTCTCAGCAAAATGAGTTAGATTCTGGGCATATCTCGTTAGAGGCATTTCAGCCCCAGGAAGATTCCACTAAAAAAACAAGTCTAGTCCATTGGCAGAAAGAAGTCCGCAGTTTAAAACTGTCCATCATTTGGCTCAATTTGACAATATCACTGAGAAACATGATGACAACTATTGTTGGGAACAGTGTAGCGGGAGCTTCCCATTGTACCTAATCCTTGTTCCTAATATGGGTTTGAGAGAGAGTACGGAGTTGCGGGAGACTTATATACAGTTTAAACCCTGGCACGGACTAGTTGGGCTGAATGGCCTGTCTCTGTGCTGTAAATCTTTGTAATTATGGAGAGTTTTCAATGCTGCAAACACAAGAGTGCAGAAAGCATTCCTCAGCAAATTCATTCCTCAAACTCAAATTCCTCAAAGTGGGAGCAAAAAAATGCACATTTGCGATAAACAACTTTACTAAATCATCCATTGCAGCTCCCAGACGATATTAACATTTCCAAGAATAATATTTCCGTTAGAGGCATTTATTGTTGCAACTATTTAGATTTCCTGTCTAATCGACAAACTAACTTTCTGCAAAATCCATTTAAATTCAGCTGAATATTTTAATGTGGCAACCAAACGCTATTGACTTTCACAGGTACATGGGGCATGTTTATACAGTGAATAACATTAGGCTCAGAACGTATTTTGTGCACAAATTCAGCCGTGTATATTTTCATACCCGGGTCGTTAAAAACATGAAGCACCTTTGTACCAATAATTCTATCATTTTATTATACATGTTGTACAGGGAATTGCATACCGTCAAGAATTCCATACACAGAAAAAAGCTCATGCATTAATGGTGGAACATAATTTTCAAATGATTTTGTTATTGTTGAGGGAATTCTTCGAAGCCCGAGAGCATCCTTTCACTACAGTCATGTGCAGCGTAGAACGAAGAGAAGTCAGCAATGTGAGAGAGCTCAGAGGAAACAGTGTATTACTCTCTCAATTAATGCTATTATTAACTAAAAAAAAGTGTGCCTTTTAAGCAGAAACCTCCATCTGGGCCAAATGATGGTATAGAAACATTAAGAAGCAAGTTATTCGAACGAAAGACCCTGAATCAAGACATAACTTTCTTCCTGATCATCCATTTGTGTAAAGCTCAACACACAAATCATAATCCACTGCCAAACCTCACTGTCTCGTAGAAATCTCAAATTTACACCCGGGTCTAGATTTGACTCTACTTTCTTAATATTTTAGAGAGTCCAGAATTTGGCAAAATCTTAAATACAGCCTCAATTTTTGCAGCCACTTTTCTGAAAGTCCTTTTCTCAAAAGAACCACCAACTTTAGAAGTCACAACTGAATTCAACAGTTTGCCAAGTTCTGACGACGTTCTGAAACGTGACGTGGAATAGTTTAGATCCGGACCCGGGTGGAATTTCTCTCCTCATTGTGTGGGTGTAAGATACATGTTTTTGTCCAAGTGTTTTCTGCTGCTTTTTTTTTAACAAATGAACTGTTGAATACATGGTGAAATGCTATAAACATGTGAAACTTTTTTTTTTGGGGGGGGGGGACACGCAACTTTTTTTTCAAACGCCTGATCCAAGGGAATGACACCCTAATGTTGTCCCGTATTCATCAGGGTTTATTTGTATCTAAATGAACCAGACACCCCCACACCCCACCCCCCCAAATCTTGGACTCAGTGATTAAATTGACTCCGTGATGTGGTTCCAAGGTCCTAACTTGAACCGGGAGTCCCAGGTTGGCACTGGAGGGGCTACAGTTAACCCCATTACCCCTGGATAAGAGGAGCTAAAATCAGCCACAGTTCCTGCTCCAGATCACATCCAGTGACCTTGGTTGCTAAGTGTGGATATTGAATCAGGACATGGTCCATTTCTGCTGTGATGCCCCCACAGTTGAATACGCCTACCGACTCTCATGTCGATGGGAAGCATGGTCACTTTGGGGTGGGGTGGGATGGGGTGGGAAGGCTATAAGGCATAAAGGGGCTGCCAGGTGCCTGTTGAACCATACTTCAACGTGGGTTCATTGCATTCAGGCAGAGAAGAGACAAAGTGGAAGAAAAAAAACAAATCACCTCTTTGAAAGATCTGGTTAGTTTTTGATACCGACACGAATAGGTCTGAGGTTCATGTCAATGACCCATGATGTTATATATACCTTGTAACAACTTAACTGGGCAGTAGTTAGGTGAAGTTTGGTTATCTAATTGGATAGTTTTGATTGATATATATAGATATATATATACATATCCAATTAAACAGCCAATTCCCCCCTCACCCCCTAAAAAAATCCCAAATGGGTGAATATGGATTTTTTACGATCTGAAAGGTGGTGATATTGGGGTGAGGGAGGGAGAGGGGAGAGAAGGGGGAAATGGGAAAGGTGAGTGGGGGTGGGGGGGTGGTTGTGGGTGGGGAATGAGATTCTCTCCTGCCAGGTTGAGGTGTTACCGGGTACAGATGTGATTTAAAACGTCATCTTTTCAGAGATATATGTTCCCACTCTGAGTTTGCTGTTTTATTTTTGTTGTGCATTCTTGTTTGTTTATGGCTTTCTACCCAAGGACGACGACATTTTTCTAAATTTAAACATAAGGGTAGGTTTTCTTTACTATCGTTTGCCTCCGTATGATTTATGTCACACTTTTCCCAAGTTATCTTGGTCGTACTGGCTCACTCCCTCTCCACCCCCATCACAACCCCCCCCTACCCCCTCCCTTACCCACACACCCCCACCCACCACCTTGCCTTGAGAAAGGAGCACTAATTTAAGAGCACACGGTTAATAGTAGCACAAGGTACAATGAACAAGACATCAGTCAGGGAGCACCTGTTTTACAATGTCCATGGCAAAACACCAACTAGGAGGTGACTCCTAGTTTTCCTTCCGTTCTTCACCCCCCCAAAAAAAAAACACAGTGATGGAATAATCGATGGGGAAAGAGTGGGGCTTGCTGCAAAGAGCAAGTCATTGAGAAAAGATGGGCGCATGAATGAACGAGTCATAAGTTCATTTGCGTTGAAGTGGCTCGATAACGTTCAAGTCAATTATAGATTGATGGATAGATTCATAGTGTAAAATATAGGACGCAAAAAAGGCCTGCCATGCTCAAGGCCCCAGTAAACTCCCATGTCAGTGTCACGTCTCACCAGCACTATTCCCAGGTCCAGGTATGGATTCTATTCCTAGATCCGGTGAATGAGAATATCTGCATTCGCAGGTACAGAGCCAAGCAATGCTTGTCAGCTGCTGAGTGGGAACTTCTTTGCGTTCGCCCCAGCAATGAGAGAGAGGGTGAGGAGAGAGAACGGGTGAAGCGTAGATTGGTCAGAGATACACTGCGCATTTTACAGTTCACACCCCGCCTGTACCAGTTCCGTATTTGTACCTAAGTGTGGATAGAGGCAGATGATCTCCAAAGAGGAGGGTCTCGATGGGGAAAAGTGAGCACGAGTTTATGGAGACTCGTTCTCCTACACAATCTAAGCAAGAAAGTAGTTGTTTGACTCGAGTGGAGAAAGCCGACTGTTAGGCAGCTAAACCCTCTACAGGTGTGTGAAACTATTATCCTCATCAATCACAAATAATACCCAAAATGTGTCGGGGAACTTTACCGAAAGTTTAATTAAAACAGCTGTGCGTTTTAATTTGTTAATCTCTGCGGAGTTTCTTGTCAGGTTTCGAACACCCTGTACATCAGCATGCATTGTTTATTTTTTTTTACCAAAATCCCGATTTCCTTTTTAACTAAATCAATTATAATCCACAGTGGATTAATTATGTTATCGTGAAATTCGCTGCTTACCTCAGCACAGCATCCTCAAAGGTTTATGAGGACAATAACTGCAGAGACTTGTATTGGCTCATCATTCCACCAGAACCGTCTCTTGCATTTACCGCATTGACCTCACTTCCAGCTGTGTCCGTCAACGTCTTCTCTCACTTTCTTTAAGACACGAAGTCTAAATTGATAGAGCTCGGTACTCTGTGCATGTGTCTGCGTATCTCTCTGTTGGATAAGCAGCTTTCATGTGCATCCATTGCCCTCAGCCAAAAAAAATTCATTGAAACATCAGAACGATTTTATCAGAAAAGTATAGTTCAAATTCAGATCCAGATTTCAAAATTCAAAGTAAAATACCTCTATGCTTAACGTGATAGAACGTCGATAAAACACATTGCTTCAAATCCAGATGGACAATAGAAAACAGTTGCTTTCAGCGAGACTGACTGAGGGAAATATTTATTGTATCTGTTAAAAATTGGGTCGTGGTAATGATTTTTACGTTTTGTAATCATTTTAATTCTCTTCTGTATCCCACATGTGGTGTTGTCATTTCCATGAACTGTAAATTGCGAGAGAGGTGTTGTTAGTTAGTTTTCGGTTTAGCCAAGTCAAGTGCTGATGGTGCATTGTGTGTTCCGATTCAATCTCTTATTGCTGATTCCAATCAAAGTCAAAGATCCCCAGTGAATTCCGTTGTGAAGGCATAACCATATAGGATTGCACGATAGCAGATAGCCTGGGTACCTGCTACAAATGGGGGGGGGGGAGAAATTGCACCCTTCCATAAATGATTTTGCTTTTTATTATTTGGGGGGAGAACAAATTTTTGCCTTTTTAGCTCTTTTTGTCAGCGACAAAACCCTTTAAGATCAGGTAAAGCTCCTTTTGCTCTTCTCCAACAAGTTGCCTCAACCACAACCTCAGAAGAGCATCTCTGCTGCTCAAGGGGATTAATCCAATTTCCTACACACTTTTCTGTCCAGTAGAAAAGGCGTTGAAACTCACCAACCAGTTTCAGGCAGGATGATTGACTTCCATCCTGTTAGACTTGGTTGGAATCGAAGCCAGCTCTCTGAGACAAAAAGGATAATGTTCTTGTCAACTGTGGCATCTATTTGAAAGTTCCTCCTCTGCCCCAGTAATGATCCATGTTTCATGAAATGCTGACTCCAGATTTCAGCAAAAGATTCCCCAACGACGCGTCTTTCACATTCCCAAACGTGAAACCATTCGAAACGTGCAATGGCGTCACCTCACGGCCAACAAAGATTGAGGTTTGATATTGCGGGTCAAGCAGTAATGCAGAGCCGCCTTTCTGCTGAGATTTCAAAGGGGTTTTCACAAACACTTGGACTTCAGTTGTCCAGATAGCTCTTTAACAAAGAATTAGGCAAGTGTTTGAAGAGAAGCAAGATAATAAAAGGGTGCAAGGAAAGAACAGGGAATTGGGATTAGAGGATAAAACTCCAGTGTAGGAGCGAGCTCCACCAAGGACTTGATGGCATCCTTTTGTGCTGTCACTTCCTCAGAGCTCAGCTTCCGTAAGCTTCTCCAATGCTTATTATCCTGTTCTCTAGGAAATGTTCTTCGACTGACACCTCTCTAGCTTCCCCCACCCAACCCACAGAACTCCCCAATTGTGCATCCGACTAAATCCATCTCGTGATACGAAAGCAAAATCTTACAGAACTGCAAAATGTGATTTCTGTTTCACTCGGAAGTAAAATCCTCATAATTCTCTCTTGATTTTCTTGTCGGCAAGCTATTAAGACCTTTCTTGCTTCTGAAACAGACGTATTATTTTATGATTTCCCCCGTAGCTTAACGATTTTATGATTAGTGTAGTATTCCTCGATTTGATGTATGTTAAAAATAGACTCCTGTCAGCTACGAGTCATCTAATATAGACCCGGATTCTATTCTTCAGGGCCCTTTGCGAAGCTCCGTGCACTGTCTAGTGGCAATTTGTGCTTATGTGTCGATTTCCTCTGAATTGGAGGTAGCGACTCATTTTCCTTTGAGTTAGTATTAGATCTGAGGTGTGGGATCAAGGCAAGGGTTGAGCAGTGTTGTGAGCACAGGAAAAACCTGGACCAGAGACCACTTATCACTCTGGTCAAACCACTGACATCCGAAAGGCTGTTACAATGGAAGAACACAATTCCGATTGATTTCACGGACGATCGATCGATTGCCCGTCCAAAAAAAAAGAGCAACCCATGGAAATGACGTCGTTACATATGACATACATCGTGTCCTCACTGTAAGGCTCTCGTTTTTGAATTTGCTAATTTTTGCTCGTGTAATTTCACGTAAGAAATAATTCAGATATAATGGTCGCTTTGCGTATTTCACGACGGCTTCCACAGAAACAAGTTTTTATTTCTCTTTCTCTCTTTTCCTTTTTCTCTCTCTCTCTATCTTTCTCTTCCTCTCTCTCTCTCTCTCTTTCTTTCTCTCTATTTTTTGTTCCCTCGCTCTTTGTCTGCCTCTTTCCAGCTGCTTGCCCCGTGCTGTGCAGTGGTAATGGCCAATACTCCAAGGGAAATTGCATCTGCTACAGCGGCTGGAAAGGAGCCGAATGCGATGTGCCCATCAACCAGTGCTTTGACCCGGAATGTGGAGGCCACGGAACCTGCACGATAGGAACCTGTGTCTGCTCAACGGGCTACAAAGGGGACAACTGTGAGGAAGGTAAGAAAAACACAAGAGAAACAAACACACGTACCGCAGGAACCTCTCCACTTCACTCAGACCGCCTAGCGATCACTTTAAAGGCAATCACATCCGAAAGATACAAACAGTCGATTCCACATCAGACCCTTTGGTGCACTTTGGCAACCGTGCTTTGTCCTCCTCTTCAACCTCAGCGCTGGAAACCGAATCGAAATTGGCTGCCTTCACAGATGAGCTGTCGTTGAGGGCTGCGGTGATTATCCGTTCACCAGTCCGAGAGCTGAAGTCATGTGAAATATGCTGTGACCAGCGCCAGCAAGTCACAGCAGTTCCCGTGACCTGTTCCTATTTATATAGTGGCAGGGTGAGACGTGTCAGAGTGCCCACAGCACTACCTGCCAAGCTGTCCTACCTATTAGTGGTCAGCACTCTGAAATCTGAGGTGTTTTTTTTTGTCATTACAGCAATAAGGATATTTCTCGCCTCTCGCACAAAATTGAAACAATTTGGATTCCTACTCTCAGTGAACTCATTGATAAGCCCTGCTCAGTTCTTAGGATTGTTTGTGGGCCCCGAGAGAAATTCCGCAACCTCGAGCCTTGGGTCCACTTCTGTTGGATCAATATTTAAGGATGATAGATCTTTTTGCTGATCGATCATACTTCATGCCCGCATCAAAATAATTGGAAGTGGGGCAGGTTGTGGCAATCAAAGGTTATCCAAGGTGAGGCTGTTTGACAAACCTGAGTAGTCGATGAATGAATTGCTGTAAAAAGCAGTGAAGCCAAGTCTACAACAAAGTCATAGTGACAGACAGATAGAGAACAGACAGACGCAAGTGAGAGGACCTGGATTTCATTCCTGGGCAGGGCGAAACGTTGGGCAAGTTCCCTTCCTCCGCACACCTCTGTTTACCCGAAGGTATTATTGCAATTATTTAAAAACGAACCCAACAGCAGAAAAGTTGTTATCCACACGAGCTCTGTGTTACCAGAAACTATTCAGCGGAATTAAACTCAGCATCACGGATCGTAAGGGGCTGCAATTCAATCCGACTCGCACAATCACAGAAGCTTCCTGTGTTTCCAAATCGAGCCACGTTCAAATCGGGTCTTGTCCCTGCCGCAGATTTCATCCCAGCCAGCAAGATATTCTCCATCCTTTCTGTACATCCTAAAGCAAAGCAGGGTGTTGTCAGTGGAGTCCCACTAGCACAGTGGTTGGCCCGCTTGCAATCGAGAGGAGCCAGTTTCTAAGTCCTACTGCTGAGCCAGGATGACTGGCCTGTCACCAGCAGTGCCCTGGAGTACTGCAGACTCGCCCGGCTCAGGAACTCAACAGCTCAGCTTTATGACAATCTAATTGGGATAGAAAACACAAAGTTAGGAACAATCTTCTCAGATATGCCGAGGCAGCCGCACAAGCGGTCACGGAGTTGCCAAGGACAAATTTAGGACGCATTTATATTTTTTACGCGGCAGATGGAACGAGAGACCAAGGAAGAAGTTCGAAAACATTTCAAGCTGTAACAGCAGGACCTTGCCAAAGTGAAAAGCATTAGCAGGGTTGCAGTAGAATTCTCTATCACTGAATGAGCCGGTCTGAAACTTCCTGATGATGTGAATATTGCCCGGGTAATCTTGCCATACAATCTGCGAAGCCCTTTCAATAACGTGATGAGGCGCAAAGTCAAATGCAAGGGTTATTATATTATTGGGAGTAATTACGTGCAGTGTCTTCTCATATCCGATTACGTTTTATTTTCCACTGAAAAAATTGTGCTTTGACTTTTTTTTTTGAAAAATCTTGTCTTTTTACTTTCTGCCCAGAAACGAGTGTGCTTTGCATTTATAGTCGCTAACCTTTTTGTTGAGGTGCTGCATTAATTCGCTAATACACTCCAGCATTAAAGTCTCTGCCACATTGATCAACGAAAGAGCAACTGATTCAGCTGAATCGAAATTGAAAACCCAGTATAAATCCCGAAGCTCTGTCTTCTCTCCCGAGACCTCCGTGCAAACCTGCTTAAAATATGAGATTTGATGGTTTTAGTGGCCTCAATGATAAGAGTAAACTCAAATATTTCAGAAATTTTATTAAAGGATGGAAATGATTTTATTGATCTGTGTTTCTAAAAAGAATGGAGTCGGCTGATTCATATGCAGTTACAAAGCCAGGCAGCTTTAAGGAAATGGAATTGAAAGATAAACTGTTCAGCAAAAAAAAAAGCAGCTGGCTAGTTTTCATACCCTGAACAAAAATGTTTATCATATTTAAGCTGCTTATACAATTTGTCTTTTTGCCACGATGGCATTGGGATCAATAGTTGTCATTAGCATTTTTTTTTGCTGCATAAACAGAGCTAAGGGTATTAACTAGTCAGATACTTACACTTTACGCTTTCAAGTGGAAAGCTTTCATTGGCACGTTGTGCTTTCTGCTGGCCAGTTGGATTAAAAGGAATCTTTAGCAGGATTTTTGGACCTGAAATCGCAAGTAGGAGATTCTCTGACAAACGATCTCTATTCTCTAAGGTTGAACCAAGTTATTTGTACATTTTTTTTTAAAAAAATGTCCTGACTTCTTACTCGATCTGCTCTCACCGTCCACCAGGGTGTGGAGTTTAAACGTAGGCGCCAGGAGACGCTGCCCCACGTGAGGGCTGCTACATAAATACAAATTGTTGTTAAATTTGTATTGGACTTTTGCAGCCTGGTCTTAGCAAGTAAGTGGCAGAATGCTTGGGTGCTTGGAGCAGGTTGAAGGAGAAAATAAAATGAAAGAATGTTTTCTTATAGTAATAATGATAACAATCTTTACATTTGGCACAGCACCTTTCATATTGGGAGGGCGCCCTAAGGCGCTTCACAGGATATACTGTAAAGTGGAGTGACTGTGTGTTTTGTGGACGGACAAGGCAGCCAATTTTGCTCACAGCAACTTCCCACAAACATTGACGAAGTGATTGGCCAATGTTATTTGGGGGGGGGTTGTTGGCCAGGACATGCTTTGTTTTCCCATTGCGAAACAAAGATGAAAGGCCAAGGACTATAGTGCGGGTTATCACCGCTGTTAAAAGCAGAGGAACAAGGACATTGCTAGACATTGTCAGTTCATCCATACTAATCAAGTCAGCCAAGGCCTGGAAGGAATTGAAGTTATAGGGTCAAGAGATGAAGGACATTTTTTAAGGATAAATCTGTGGCTTACAGTGACTCATCACTGCCTTTGTGGGAGACACACTTGCAGGTGAGGTATAGCACTGGAGAGCTGGAAAGCAATGCTTTTTCTGCTCTGCCCCTAAACTACAACCTCAGAGAAATACTGTCCTACATCAGCAACCTTGGCCATTCAATCCACGACTGTTTGTGGGGCACTGCTGTGCGCAATTGGCTGCCGTGTTTCACCAACAAAACGTACAGTCAATTCACTTCACAGTGTGTTCTGTGAAGCGCTTTGCGACGTCTCAACGACGACGTGCTAAGGCGATATATCAAATGTAAGGATTAGTATTATATTATTTATTATTCAGCAAGGCCTTTGCATTTCTCAGTCAGCCAATCCTTCTGCCTTTTTTTTAGTGAGAGCACCAGAATTGACACTATTAATGTCCAGTTCAGGTTAATAAGTTTAATTTTTCTTTTGGACTTTGTCAATATGTTTTTCGTGCGTATTGACTTTGTTTCCAATCTTCTCAACTTTTTAAACATCAGCTGCCTTCTAACATCCCGTCCATCCCCCTTGATAGGTAATTAGAGGAGTCTTCTTCACACATCTTCTTGCCACATAACAGAGGCAGCCGTTGTGCGAGATTTATGAGTGCTTAAAATATCCATCCGTTGCTTTCCCTTTCTTTAAACATCACTTAACTTTTTCCAACCAGCTGATAATTTACAGTACAGTAAAGCCCTTTACAGTAAAATCCTGTGAAGCACTTTGAGACATCTCAACAACAAAGTAATTAACTGTTATCAAACACAAGGATTATTATCATTAATATTTGTAAAGATTTGAATGGCTTTGTGCACCTCTCCCACTGCCTATTACACCTCTCCCATCTGTCAGCGCATAATACACATTCGCAGGATATTTATATTTGCATAGTGACATTTAGAATTCGGATAATACCTCCAAAACACTCCTGGCAACAGAAGACAAGGTGTCAGTATCAATGACTCTACAGGCAATCGTCACTATTTACCGCAAGCAGGTTTTGTTGCAGTGAAACACCCCTTCTGGTCGTTTTGCTTGTCGTTCGTAAATTATTTTATTTGTGATCAAAAATGCACTTGCAGATACGCCTTGAGCAGCTGGAGTCTCACAAACTGCAAGTCCTTACCTGTTATTCGCCTTCCTTTAACATTCTTTAAGGAGCAGTGTCGTTCCTTGTGCAGTTCTTGAAAGAGATTTTGCACAGAAGATGTCTCCTCATGATTGCGATACATGCAATAAATAAATAGATAGGTAGGGAGGGAGAGAGATAATAGATAAATGAATAATCCTTACATCTGATACAACCTGAAACTCCCTTCATTTTTCGAATAGCACCCTCTGAGCATCCACCTTGCATCATCTAACGTCCATCTGAACAGGCAGACAGGTCCTTGTTTTAACATCTAATCTGAAGGACAGAAATACAGACCTTCATGTCCCGGAAATTTGAGGTGACATTTATGGGCATTTCATAACGTATTCAACATGAAATGCATTATGATACACCCTAAATGTCACCCCTGTGTTATAGATCAGCATAGAGTCCAAATGTGAATGTAATAATAATAATAATCCTCATACTTGACATAGCGCCTTATCAAGTCTTCGAGACGTCATAAAGCGCTTCACAGAATATACTGTAAAGTGAATTGACTGTATGTTTGATAGCTATTGTGTCTCTTGTCCTTGTTTCAGCGGACTGTTTGGATCCCTCGTGTTCTGGGCATGGAGTGTGTGTCCAGGGCGATTGTCACTGCAGCCCAGGCTGGGGCGGATTGACCTGTGAAATTTCCAGACCTCAGTGTCCGGATCAGTGCACAGGACACGGCACATACATCCCGGAAACCGGCCTCTGTAGCTGTGATCCAAACTGGATTGGTCCGGACTGCTCAGTCGGTAAGGACAAAGTACATACTTTATTTTGTGCTAACTTGAGCACACTACCGTCTGCTATTTAATTACCACATCACATAGCACGGTTTTCTGCATAAGAGCATTAGAATTTTCTAGGCAAACATAGACTAACAACAACAACAACAAGATTACATTTGTATAGCGCCTTTCGGGAGAACGTCCCAAAAGTAGGCAAAAGTTAGACCAGGATCCATCCAGTTCGCCTTCCACCATCCTAGCAGTCACATGTCATATCATGTCTCAAGCTATATATAGGATGCCAAGATATTAATTCCTAACAGAAATCTATCTAATTTATTCTTGAAAGAATCGACCCTTTCTGCTTCCACCATCTTCCTAGGAAGGCTGTTCCATATGTCTACTACTCCTCATGTTTCTGCAGATTTGTATTAAATTTCCCTCCTTCAATCCAGGCCACGTCCTCCAGTTCTACTATTCGGTACAAGTTAAAACAGCTTATCATGGTCTACATAATCTAGTCCCTTTAGAATCTTAAAGACCATGATCATATTGTTTCTTGTTACTTTGGTCTGTGCTCAGTATATTGGGGCTCAGTTCACAATTAACTCATTTAATTTTTGGGAGTGGTTGAACAGTTGTTTTTTTGTCAATTTTTGACATTAAATGTTAGCTGGCTAATTTGGGCACCGCATGGGTTAAATCCTGAATAAAGCTGCCTGTACAACCTGCCTTCAGCCTTAGTGATATATCCCTCTCCTTCCACCAGCGTGACATTTCCATTTGCTGCACCTTGTGATGTCTGAGTGAGTCTGTCAAGACAGCGCCAATTAGTGCCAAATTATTGGGAATTTTGTGCTGCGGACACAGACACACTGCATACAGAATGTATTGAGTCGGCCTCCAAACTCATTTGACACAGGACCCTTACAGGCAACTGAGAGAGTGAAAGTTTCATCCTATTAGTTTAAGCGAGTGTCAAATCTTGATCGCGTGGGCGAAAGGCCAGTGTTCCAATTGACTAAAGCTACTTGGTCCTCCTCCTCTGGCTGCTTCTAATTGTAATGAAGAATTGATCGGAGCAAAATTGGAGACAGAGCCAGCGGTTTAAAGAACGTCTGTGTTAGAAAGCATTTCGGAATCAAAGTGCCAAAAGGAAAAAGATGAAAATCTTTCCGAGCCCCTTTCCTCTGCCAGACCCTTTGCTGAGCTGGCAGATGCCGGGAGTTAAAGCACTACAGCTGATCTGGGCCTTCCAGGGAGGAGGAAATGATACAGAAGGATGTCTAAATTCCCGACAGCTCTCCAGTGACTCCTGCAACTGAATGTCGACAAGGTGGAAGGCGTACTCGTTGGCTCCCATCAACATCTTCTCTTCTGCGGCTCTGACCTCTTCAACCTCCCCGGCCTTTCCCAAAGACTTACCAAACCTGTACTTAACCTGGGCGTAAGGTTCAAGCTCCAGCTTTCCCCCGGCATTGGGCGCTCCGAGACGCTGCCCCGTGGGAAGGGCGCTAAATAAATGCAAGGTGGTTGTTGTTGTTGTAGAACGTATACATGCGTAGACATTGAGTGAAGATGTGATGAAGCCCATTTCTAATGCTGTGATCAGATTGCCTGCTGATACTCACAAAAGAAGAAGGTCATGTGGCAAAATATTAGAAGGTGGAGAGTGATTGTGGAGCTGTAATGTGAACACTAATCTCTTTGAAGAGGAGGGAATTGGATGGAAAGGATGAATTCAATAGACGTCTCTCTCGCTCTGTCTCATTGTATTGGTCAGAGTAAATGAAACTCATTCCCAATCAGTCTGGTAATATAAAAATCCAAGAACCATCCCCTCTCTGTGTATGACAGTCCAAATCTAAGTTTGTCATTTAAAAAAAAGTATACATTTACATTTAATAGCCAAATAAAATCCATCACTAAATTTGACTCAAAGACAGCAGCATTTTTCAGAAGGTAAATCAATTTTGTGTAATAAAAACATTCTTGTTAAATGTTTTTGTGTTTTGCTCTGTTTAGATTGATTTTTTGAATGAATGAATGGATGATTCATTGGTGATTCAAGATAATTCATTCATTCATTCATTTATTCAGTCAGTCAGTGGGCCTGGGGTCCATGGCATTGCTGTGTAAATTGGCCATTTGTAGCTGTACTTTATGGAAATCCAAATGGGAGCAGAATCCTGGTCAGAAAAAACATACTCTTGGAAAACTAGTTATGTCCCTAAACTGAATTGTTCAATATAGCTGAACGCTGGCAATTGGCATTCAAAAAGAGTGCATCAATATTGCGGATTGAATCTACATTTAACAGGCATAGTGTGTGTATATATATATATATAAAGTTACCATTCAAGTCCCATATGCTTTCCACCATCCTGTCTTCCTTGGTTGACCTGAAGGCAAAAGTTTCTCCGTATTCAACTAACCACAAGTGAAAGCATCTTGTTATCCAGCCAGAAAGCTCAATAATTAAAGGGGCGTGCACCCTATACCGGTGCTTGAAGGATTTTCTTTGTAAGTGTTTTGAAGCCTGATAAAAAAAAACTCAGTTTCCAATATCGCACATGGCTGAGACTGCATAATGCACTGTCTAGTTGTCATGTCACTTGAAATTCCATTTCATATCTTTAGAAGTCTGCTCCGTGGACTGTGGCACCCACGGAGTCTGCATATCTGGTGTATGTCGATGTGAGGAAGGCTGGACAGGTGTGGCCTGTGATCAGAGGGTTTGTCACCCTCGCTGCGCTGACCACGGAACCTGCAAGGACGGAAAATGCGAATGCAAAGAAGGCTGGAATGGGGAGCACTGCACCATTGGTAAGGAACAAGCAATTGCTTGGTTTTGTCTTAATTCAAATACACCGTTAGCGGATAGATGCATTAAACGTCATCAGATCGCATTAGATGACAAGTCAGCCCAAAGTAGGCTCGGATATCTCTCTTTGGAGAGTCCTGTAGCTCACTGGTTAGAGCACTTGCCTCACAATCGAGAGACCCGGGTTCGATTCCCGGCAGGGCGAAACGTTGGGCAAGTTTCCTTATTCCCCACGCCTCTGTTTACCTAGCAATAAATAGGAACACGGTTGTTAGTCGATTGGTGGATCACATCCCAGGGGTAATAATTCCTTAAAACAAATGATAATTTGGTGTATTTTTGTAGGTGAAGGTGAACGCCAATTTGTGCATTAGCAACGTTGTTTGCATTCCCTTTACAAATGGCGGCATGAGATGTTTAGCTTCCACCTGAACCGGCAAATGGTGACCTCAGTTTAACAACTCATCCAAAGACCGGTGCCTCCGCCAACGCAGAGCTCTCTGAACACTAATTTGGGGTGTTAGCCCAGACGATGTGAGAAGCAGCGCAGCCCCACCTGGCTCAGAGACCGTCACAGCGGGCCGGCTCAATTCCGACGTTCTATGTCACCTTGGAGCCAGTTCAGCACGGTTACCTCCGCTCACCCCCCCAAAGGAGGATACCTACTCTATGACTGTCCAGATAGGCAGCAGAATTCTTTCCGATCCCATACAATCCCATGTTCCGGTCCTGTATGGGTGTGTGGACTGTACTCGCGCTTAACTCTTGGCTCCTGTTTCAAAATCCCTACTTGTGCTGCTTGGAGGAAGATCTGCAATTTGTGATGAAAAATTGTTAACTTTGCATATCCAAACATGAGAAACAATCAAAGCTTTGACATTGTACGCTCTATGCACCCTCAAAAAAAAAACACAGAAGCTGTAGTTAAATGGAATTTGACTGAGGGCTGGCATACACAATCAGCCACACTGTATAGCCAGCTAACAAAGTCAATTTGTCCTTCACCGCAAGAGAGTATTTTCTTTTCAGAATGAAACGGAACCATTCTAGCGAGAGTGAAATGCAAAGCAGAAGTAAGGAGGTCTGAGGGCACAAGACCGTGTCCTGGGGAAGGGCACCAGTCTCTTCCTGCCACTCTCCGCAGCAGTGAGATCCTCAGCACAGCCGTTCCATAAGAGGAGAGGCGGCAAAGGGGCCACGAGCTCTCTCACAGGGAAGGGAAAATAGCAGGGCAGCTCACCTCTGGTCACTCTGGTGCATCTGCAAGTAGGCGTTTTGCAGAACAGAGCCGGGTAAAGGCAAACGGAAGTATGTCGAGGGGAAAGGAGTGGCATTGCTTGAGATCCTGAAAGGGGAAAGATAGAAAATGGCCTGACTTTTATTTTTCTGTAAAGGTTAATAATAATAATAATAATCTTTGTTTTTGGTGTAGCGCCTTATCATGTCTCAAAACGCTTCACACAATATATTTTGTAAAGTGTAGTGACTGTGTGTTTTGTGGGCGAAACACGGCAGCTTATTGCGCACAGCGGTATCCCACAAACAGTCGTGAATTGAGTGACCAAATTTTTTTTTTTTTTTGAGGGTTTGTTACCCCGGGAAAGCAATCCACCAATCGACTAACACCTCCATCGTTCGGGTTGATCCTCAGCGGGGTTTAGGATGGAACAATGAAAACATTTGCGTTATAATTTCTTATATCCATATAATAATTTATATCTAATAATTAACCCTTGTATTTGGTGTTGCGCTTTACATTGTCGAAATTCCTCAAAGCACTTCACAGGATTTACTGTAAAGTGTAGTGACCGGGTATTTCAATTGGGATGCGAATGAGATGGACACAAGTAATAGCAACATGCCAGGATATTTCAGCGGTGTGATTGGAGTTTAATCCTCAGGCTCATCTGGAATGGTTGACTACACGCAAGGCACTGATAAATATGTATTGCAAAGATCTGGTTAAGTTTGATATCTTTCTGACAGCAGTCATTTTGGACTGCAACATGTTGTTGTCTTGAAGGATAAAAGTCAGCATGCAGATCGGTCTTATCAAAGCTGAGTCTCTCTGGAGTTGAATTTTAATTGGCTTTTTTTTTTCTCTCATACACAACAGCCAGAGAGATAGTTTAGATTCTGTAAGGAGCAAAATTTAACTTCTGTTTCACTGAAGATCTCATTGCTTTGTCTTTCATTGTAGAAATACGGTGCTTTTGCTTTTCCCCTTTTTTGATTCATTGCTTTTTTTTTGATCATTTGTATTTACCAAAAAAAGATTTCAGGATAAAAGGTAAGGTTTGAAGATGGAATAGTAGATGAATTAGATGTTAATAGTTGTGTCTGTGTGCTTCTGTGTGTAGCAGAATCTGTCATTAACTATTGATGTGGTTGCTGTCTATGGCGCTGAATTACCTTTGGTGTGTGACATGGCCTGATCTCAATGGTTTCGAAATATAATTAGCACGACCATAAATTGGTCATTCACTTCATGCCCAGTCGTGGGACTTTGCCGTGCACAAATTGGCTGCAGTGTTTGCCTTCACACACACAGTTCCTTCACTTCACAGCAATTACCTGCAAAGTGCTTTTGAGACATTTCAACATTATAGGCATCCCAACACTCCTATTCCATAGAGTGCCCCACAGCTGTTTTCTTTAAAACCAGCCCAAATCATTTATATGTATATATATATATCTATTTAGATATCAACCATAGGTGTTGCAAAGTTAGTATCATCACCAGGGCAATTGTTAAAAATAACTTGTATGGAATTGATGGGATGAGAAATGCAACACTTCCAAAAAAAACGATTCAATGTGATAATTATGAAATTGTCACTGATACAGATACTTAAATGTAGTACCCTCTGCTTGTAAGTAACACTTTGGTTTAAATAGCGATAATTGCCGGGGAATTTGTTTAAGAGGAGCTCCCGAACGCCCATGGTGAAAGAGAGCAGAATTAACATGCGGAGATGTACAAACATAAGGTCCAGAGTGATCTTTGTAGTTTCAATTGTGTTCCATCTGAATTTCACCCCCATTGGCTGCCATGCCCTCGTCCCTGACAGCTCTCCCAACTCTCGAGCCGTCCTGCCTCCTTTCTTGACAGTTCTGTCCCCACATAGTGCCCTCTGAGTTTAGGGCACTCCCTCAGCTATGCTGTCCTGTTTGTTGACAGTTCTGTTCCCCTATGCCCTGCCCTCTCAGCTGACAGGCTGTGCCTTGTCCTCTCAACTCAGAGCAAGCTGGCAAGCAGAATTTTTCAGCCTGTCCTCAAATAAACAAAGATGTGATTCACGCTAATTGGACTCAATTGCCAATTTCATTCTGAAGGTCCAGAGGTTGGCTGGCAGGGAAATGCTAAATGTTACGTCTGCTTGATAGGAACAGAGAAAATAGATTATTTTTATATTAAAAAGAAGAAAATAACCGAATTGCAAGGAAAAAACTGGCAAGAGGTGAAATGTAGATCTTTACGCAAAACAACATCTTCAAAAGTCTCAACGAGAAGATTGATCAAAAAGGACTTTAAAGGGGTCTCAGCAAAAACGGTAGTGAGACACAACAACTGGGGGGAAATGTCACCTGGGTTGAGATGAACTCTATTAATGTAGCATTTTAGGACAACCAGAATTTGGCAAATTCTTAAATACAGCCTTAACTTTGAAACCATTTTTTTGTGAGTTTATTTTAAACGCTATAGAAAATCAGATTTCAAAGTCGGTCCTGAATTCATCAAATTGCCAACTCCCTGAAACAAAAATAATTGTTGCTTATGATATAGCACCTTTCAGGTCGGTAGGATGCCTCAAAGCATTTCACAAGATTTACTGTAAAGTCGCTAGCTGTGTTTATATGAAAATGTGACCTAAATAGAGTTAATCCAGACCTTGGTGGAATTTCCGCCAAGTACTTTGGGCCTTAACCTCCGTGGGATAGGGAGAGAAATTCAGGATTCCTTCTCATGGAATCGTAGAATCCAACAGCACAGAAGGAGGCCATTTGGCCCATCATACTAGTGCTAGCTCGTTGAAAGAGCTACCCAATTAGTCCCATTCTCCAGCTCTTTCCCCGTAGCCTTGCAATTTTTTTTTCAAATATATATTTAATTCCTTTTGAAAGCTATTATTGGATTTGCTTCCACCATCTTTTCAACCAGGATGTCACAACTCGCTGCATTAAAAAAAAGTCATCCGACTGCCCATCTCAGACGTGTGAGCTCACAGATAGTGAGTGAGGAGTGAGTTTAGGGTTTGGGCTGTAACGTCCCTTGCCATCAAATAAACCAGTGACATTCAATGTCCAGGCTCACAGAGAGAGAGCACGACCATTTGAGTGAGATGACTGAATGGTGTCCGTGAAAGCGTATGCACAGTGTGAATCTTTGCAATCAGCAGGTTGTGCCTTGGGGAGTGCGGAAAAAATGCATCAGCAAGCGTGAATGTTGTGTAAACCCAACAGCAACAATGAGATTTTTTTCTAATTACTCCTACTTAAGCTGCCGCATATAGGTTGAAAAGTTCTAACTAATTTTCCCATTTGGTTCGTAAACCAGCCTTTAAGTTTTCGAAAATTGGTTTGGCTGTTTCATCGCTCACTCTAATATGGATTACTTTATGGTCAAAAGGCATTACATTGGAGATTTACTTTAATAAGTACTGAAGTCATGCTTTATCCTTTTTTAGCATCAAATCATTGAATAGCTTTAGCAACTAAAGGTTAGATTCATACAGTGCTAACTGGCAAACACGAATCAATCCCTCATATAGATTTTGCTGCCTTGATGTGTTATCAGGCTTCTGATGTATTAAGGAGTGCAAATAGGCACTTTGGAGTTTCTGACTGAATTACCAGTTGTAACATTGTTCCCCCACCTCCCCCCCCCACCCCCACCCCCCATTCTTCTTTGAAATAAATAACAGATGGCTGCCCTGATCTCTGCAATGGCAATGGGAGGTGTATGCTGAGCCAAAACAGCTGGCACTGCGTATGCCAGACTGGCTGGCGAGGGTCTGGGTGCAACGTGGCAATGGAGACCTCTTGCACCGATGGTAAAGACAATGAAGGAGGTAAGAGCACGGTGGGGTTGATGTTGGCTTGGATCCAATCCATGCTCAGTTGCAACGGATCCCTGCTGGGTTCCCTCAGAGTATTGGATTGTCTCGGAGAGTGTTGTGCATAACAATATTAATGATAATAACAACAATAATCCTCGCATTTCATACAGCGCCTGATCACGTCTTCGAGACATCTCAAAGCGCTTCACAGAATACACTGTAAGGTGAATTCATTGTATATTTTTGTGGGTGAAACGCAAAAATATAACAAATATTAAAATATTAAAAATATTAGAAATGTGCTTTGGTCGGTCCATTGAGCCACAGCTCAGTGGTTAGGTTAGCCACACCTGTTGCCCACACAAGAGGACCACCTTAATACATGGGCTGAAGCAGCTGCGTAGATTGGGTTAGGATTTGGTTCATGCCAAGTTACCAATCACGAATCTGCCTTTGTGGGGAGATGCCAGAAAGGGCGGTTGAGACCCAGCACTCTGGGCCTGATTTAAGAAACAGCTTGATACACAAAGGAAGTGACTTCTGCGGGGCTTCCTGCGCACAGTGACCTGATCACCCAAAAGGCAGCCATTTTATTCACACTTCACTTCTAACATGTCCTCTACCTATTGGTCCTGGAGATGATGTGATAATGAGACCCCCTGTACTATTTGAAAAGATTGCGTGTTTTTTTTTCAGATCCTGATCTTTCTGAATAAATCCTTGCCCATACTACGCAATCCTACCGCCTCCCCAAATCCTTCCTCTGAAGACCCCTTCTTTCCTTCTATTGATAATGAGTTGTTGTTGTTGTTGTTGTTGAGTTATTTCCCACGCTACTGAACTTGTGCCACACTCCATCTCCCCCAGCGCCCGGCTCGTTCCCTGCTCCCTGAACCCGGATAAAGCTTCTGATGAAAATAGTTTCTATTTTACTCCTAATTCCACATTAAGAATTCAGTTTCCACTTGATTCATTTCCTGCATTTTTTTTCAACACACAAAACATTTTCTCCCCCACGCCGCCCCCCCCACTCTTGCCATCACCTCCTCCTCCAAATCCTTCATTATCCACTTCCAGGTTGCAGCACCTCAACACGCACATAATTGAACAAGAATGATACTCTCAGCTAGTTTCTGTGTCTTCTTTGTCAATCCCCTGGCCCATGATTTAATCTTTTAATCCATTCCTTGACTTGCGCGCACTTAAATGCAATTTCCACCCTATTCCTTCTGGTCCAACACATTCTCTGATCATTTTCACCTGTAACCCCTCTCTGCTTTGCCTCTCAGTCTGCCTTTCATCTGCAGGGTTTGCTTTTGGAAACCTATTTCTTAAAGCGATATAAACCCAGCCCGTCAGCTACTTTAACATAAGATTCTCAGCAACAGGTATACCCCAATCCCTCAATCGGATCCCTTCCTTCCTCTACCTTGTCTCCAATAATGCTGAGCCCTGCTGGACCTATGTCTCTCACACCACCTGGTGAGATGGGGAGGGTGGGGGGGAAGGGACCAGAGTACAGGTGAGCAGGAATACACATCCATCTGTTTCTCAAAATGTGTCCATATTTCCACATATTCGGGGAGAAAAAATCTGGCAGAGCTGTCATGGAGTCCTGTAGCTCAGTGGTTAGAGCGCTCGCCTCGCAAACGAGAGACCTGGGTTCGATTCCCGGGCGGGCGCAACCTTGGGCAAGTTTCCTTACTCCACACGCCTGATAATAATCCCTCAAGAAAAACAATCATAAATTGGTCACTTCAATCCACTACTGTTAGTAGGACATTGCTGTGCGCAATTGGCTGCCACGTTTCGCCCACAAATATACGGTCAATTCACTTTACAGCATATTCTGTGAAGGGCTTTCTGTGAAGACCTGAAAAGTGCTACATTATGAAATTCAAATAGAATCAATGCATTTATGAGAAAACTTTATGTATAATGATATTATAATCCTTGCATTTGATAAAGTGCCTTATTGCATCTTTTCCATGTCTCAAAGCGCTTCACAGAATATACTGTAAAGTGTAGTGACTATGTTTTGTGAGTGAAACGCGCAGTCAATTGCGGAAAGCAGTGTCCCGCAAATAGTCATGGATTAAGTAACCAAATTAATATGCAAGGGAATAGAGGAGTAAATGGAAGAGGTGTGGAGTAGTTGGGTTGATCGGTCTATTTCGATGCTGCATCACTCTGTGTAACTCTTAAGTAATTTGGAGGAAAGTGACCTCCCCTTTAAGAACCAGGGCACTGTTGCTGGAGTGAAATGAAACTGAAAAATATTAACTGGAAGCAAAGCAATTCAAAGCTAACAACAGAGATGAGCTGATTCTGGTGTTACGAGGGTGAGAGCTGCGGCTGAAACATCACGTCTCTCCTTTTTTGTGGATTGTAAACTGCGCCGGATTTGCTGAGGAGGCCGTCTGTGTCTGAAGAGGCTTATCACAGCACATTTTCAGTTTCCTGCTCCCTGAAGAGGCAGTTCTTCACAGTTTGATGAATGGTTGATTGCAAGATAAATGCAGGATTGGGTGGGGGTGGTGGCAGAATAATCCCCTGAAGATTGGTGTGCAACTGCGTGTCTGATGGGGCTTGGCTGACATGGAGACGTGCAAGTCACTGACTGGCGATCTCTCTGGCAGAGGTTCAGGAGAACAGAGCGGGTAGTTGCGGAGTCCACTATGTGAAGTCCTGCCAGGTTTAGCCAGTAAAAAGAATCTAGAACAAAGATAACTGCGACACTAATCTTTGTGCAATCAAGACCGATGAAGTGTTGGTAATTTATAACATCTGACCATCGCGCTTTGTGTTTGTCATGGGGAGCCTTTAACGGGACTGTGCAGTGGTGTTTATTACAGATCCAATTTGTTGCATGAATTGAACCAGTACGGAATGAAATTTATCGAGATGTCCCCCCGAAAGGTTACACAGAGACTCTGCCCCCTTCTCCCCTCCCTTCCTCTCTCCAGCAATGTTTGTTCCACAAAGATATCTCCTGCAGCAACAGCAACAACAAAGTTACATTTATAGAGCGCCTTTCACGTCGGGAGGACATCCCAAGGCACTGGACAATCAGGGGTCAGGACCCAAGCATGGGGGAGGGGTGGTGTAGGGATGAGGGAAGGCAGAGAGGTGGGAGGGCGACTGAAGGCACGATCGAAGAGGAAGGTCTTGAGACCAGCCTTGAAGGAGGCGAGGGAGGAAGCGAGGTGTAGGGACCATGGGATGGAGTTCCCGAGTGTGGGGGCAGAGAGGCTGAAAGCCCGGCCATCGAGGGTAGAGCGGGTCGGGCGGGAGACATGGAGCAGACCGGAGCCTGATGAACGGAGCACTTTGGGTACCGCGAGGCTTTATTGCAACCTCTTAAAACTTCAGTCTGCTCGCTGTGAGAATAATTTTTGGGCCACTTTTGCAATCACCAGTTACTTTACATTATAGTGTCCCGGGATAGAACTGTTTTGCTTACAGAACTGACGCCCGGTCATGGTAACGGGATGCCCGATTTCCGGGGTTGTCCGGTCACCACTGATGTCGCTTCCTGTGGGTTGAGCGGGTGCGCACTATGCGCAGGAAGTGCCACCAACGTGACGTCCTGCTAGCGGCACGGGCGCGCTTCGTGCAGGAAGTGCCAAAAGGTTAGCAATCAGATACAAGATGGGGATTCACACTGTTACACACTATTCAAAGAATATCTGGCAATCAAAGACCCGTTAAGCTTACCACACGTTTATATTATGAAATGAACTACTTTGGAGCTGAGCGGTTGCTAACTCTATCTTGTTAACTAATAGACACATAATAGACACATCTATTATTAACTAATAGACACATAGGCTAACCAGTGGCATGTGATCAGACAACAACAACAACAACACATTACATTTGGACAGCGCCTTTCACATCAGGAGGACGTCCCAAGGCGCTGGACAGTCAGGGATCAGCACCCGAGCTGGTGGTTGGCATCAGGTGGGTTGGAGGGGCGGGGAGAGGAGGGGAGGGGTAAGAGGGTGACCGAAAGCGAGGAGGAGGAGGAGGATCTTGAGACGGGTCTTGAAGGACTCGCTTGGGAACGGATCCATCCCGTTGCAGAGTGGACTGCGACATATTGGCCAGATAAGATGCCGTGTATTCCTGTTATTGCAGATGGACTTGTAGACTGCTTGGATCCAGACTGCTGCCTTCAGTCCACGTGCCAGAGTAACCCACTCTGCCATGGGTCCCACGACCCCCTTGACATCATCCAGAAGAACCAGTGGGCCCTGTCCACTCAAGTGGTGAAGTCTTTCTACGATCGAATCAAGCTCCTTGTGGGCAAAGACAGAACCCACATCATCCCTGGGGAAAACCCTTTCAATTCCAGGTAAGGAAAGTGCTCTTTATTGATCAGTTCATCAAAATTGTGATGAAAAAAACTGGTTTGTCGTGCTGCGAGGAAGGCAATCTCATTCAAGCAAACCCTCTTTTCAGATTGAGTTACAAAGCCAAAATCGGGTTTATTGATCACAGTAACTTGTGTTTCTAAGCTGCCTCTCATGTATGTTTCAAAGTATATAATAATAATAATCCTGCATTCGATATCGCGCCTTATCACGTTGTTAAGACGTCTCAAAGCGCTTCACAGAATATACCGTAAAGTGAATTTTATTTTATAAAATTTTATTTTATGTAGTTACTTTTGCTTAAATGGGTTTATTGGTATAACGGATGGGAAGGCGGTGTTGGGGGGGAGTGGGGGGGGTGACTTATTATTGATTATTGGACTATACTTACAATTACTAGAGTTCAGTGTTCCGAGACACTACCCCATGCGAAGGGCGCTATATAAATGCAAGTTGTTGTTGCTGTTACCTTATGGCTGACATCTGCATGTGTACAATATCCAATGAGACCCTTCTGTGGGACTTTAGATGCCCAGTTGCAGCAGCAAAAGTCTCCCCTGTATGCGTTGCTTTCGTTCTTTCATGTAAAAGCAGATGTAAAGCTCATTCGCATCGTCTCTTATTTCAGCCTCGCCTCACTGATCCGAGGCCAAGTCTTTACAAAAGATGGGACACCATTGGTCGGAGTAAATGTATCGTTTGTTAAATACCCTCAATATGGATTTACCATCACTCGCCAAGATGGCACGTAAGTATATTAATAATAATAATAATAATAATAATCCTTGCATTTGATATAGCAACTTGTCACGTCCTCAAGACACTTCAAAGTGCTTCTCAGGATACACTGTAGTAACTGTATGTTCTGTGGACGAACGCAGCAGCCACTTTGCTACGCAGCAGGGTCCCACGTACAGCCATGAGATAAAGTGGGGAATGACCAATTTGATTTGGGGGAAATTTGTCGGCCAGAACACCAGGAAACACTCGCTCCTCTTCTCGAATAGCGCCTCGGGATCCTTAACGTCCACCCGGATGGGCAGACTAGACCTCGGTTTAACATCACAACAGAAGGACGGCACCTCGGATAATGTCAGCACACATTATGCGGCTGAAGGCCTGACCTGGGGATTTGGGAATTAATCTAAACGTGTCACCCTTCATTACCAACAAACAAGAACAAGAAGTGACATTTGCGTAGCGCCTTGCACGTGAGGCGGACGTCCCAAGGCGCTGGACAGTCGAGGATTTGGACGCTAACCTTTCCTGTAACAAAGGGTCTGTTGTTTTTGTTTCCCTCCAGGTTTGATCTGGTCGCCAATGGTGGCGCATCCCTCACGCTGCACTTTGAGCGCGCTCCATTCTTGAGTCAGGAGCGCACAGTCTGGCTTCCGTGGAACACCTTCTATGCTATGAACACTCTGGTGATGAAGACTGAAGAGAACACCATCCCGAGTTGCGATCTGAGTGGCTTTGTCAGGCCCGAACCGGTCCTGGTCTCCTCGCCTCTGTCTACATTCTTCAGCTCCTCACCCAGTCAGAACCCCATCATTCCTGAGACTCAGGTAAGCGCAACAGCTGGGACTAATACAATAACAACAACAACAACAATTTGCATTTATATAGCGCTCTTCACCTGGGGTAGCGTCCTGGAGCACTTGAGCACATACCATTGTACAACTTTTTGGGAAGGGACTACATACAGTTCTAGATTTACTCTTATTTATGTAGCATTTCAGAGCGTCTAGAATTTGGCAAATTCTTCTTTAATTTAACCTTGATTTCGAAACTGTTGTCCTGCAAGTTCTTTTTAAGAGCTACGGACAAACATCTTCAAACTTAAGCCTGAAGTCATCAATTTGCCAAATTCTGGCCACTCTTATAAAGCTACAGAAATAGAATAAATCTCGACCCAGGTTGAATTTCTGCCCAAGTTATTGCCCAAAGGAAATTAGAGTTGCAGAGAGTGATAAAGTGTGTCAATTGGTAACATTGAGAAGGTTAATGGCATCGGAGAACACATTTAATCAATCATGATAATGTTATACCTAAAGTATAATCATGAAAGATGTAGCAAGAACTCGCAGTATCATTTTGTATTTTCTGCTGCAATTTCCTCCTTTTTAGTCACACGACACATAAGAAAGAGCTTGTTTTTTTATAGCAGCATATCGCAGATATGTGGAGTGACTGTTTGTGGAGGGAAATGCAGTAGCCATTGGCATCAGTTAAGTCCCCAAACAACTGTGAGCTGAAGGACTAATTAATCTATTAGATTCACTGGCCAAGACACTGGCACAAACTCCCTTCTCCTTGAAATATGTCGTGAGATCTTTAACGTCCATCTGAACAGGCAGACGGCATCTCGGTTTGACGTCTCTTCCGAAAGACAGCACCCCACCCCCTGGCAGTGTATGATATATAGTGGTGTATGTCGTTCTCCATAATGCGTTTCCCTCATTAAAGAGGAGCAGTTGCGCTTGGGGAAAGGTTTACTCTCTTTATGAAGCATTTCAGAGTAAATCTAGACCTTGGTGAAATTTCTCCCCCATGCTTTTACCAAATAGGTCGCATTTAGTTACACCCCCCGACGATATGTGTTATATTTATGATCTTTTTGGGGATGAAACTGAACTGTCTGGCAAGACTCCTGCTTTTTGTCCAGCTCGGACCACCCCTACCCATTTGAGTTTTGCTTGTGGGATTAACAGGAGTGGGAAGAATCCTTGCTCCCAGTGTTCATCCTGCCCTGCTTTGGGACGAAAGAATATAGAAAGTAATTTGTTATGAACAGCTCCTTGGGAAGATGCCAAGAATCAATGACATCTTTTATCTTCTCCCCCCACCCCCACCACCCGCCTGCTTGTAAAAACAGGTCCATTGGAAACATTTCTTTCTAACAGAACACAATAGAGAGATTAATTTAACATAATGCCTATGTAGATGCTTACTTTGGCGGTGTTTTGTAATGGGGCTGTGTAATTGCAGATAGCAGACAGTTGCTTGCGCTGCATTAGATGATGGATGATGATAGTAAATCATTAGTAAGATACGTTTCACAGCTTTACAAATTAAGCCTTAAAAGAAAAACGTTTTACCATGCAGGTATCTCATTGTGTTTCCTTAATGCATTCAGGTTCTGCATGAAGAAATTGAGATCCCAGGCTCCAATATAAAACTGTGTTACCTGAGCTCTCGCACCACTGGCTACAAGTCCCTTCTGAAAATCATGATGACCCAGTCTATCGTACCGATCAATTTGATTAAAGTGCACCTTATGGTGGCTGTAGAGGGACACCTATTCCAGAAGTGGTTCCATGCATCGCCTAACCTGGCCTACACGTTCATATGGGACAAGTCGGACGCCTACAATCAGAAGGTCTACGGTGTCTCTGAAGCAGTCGGTATGTTTTATTGTCAAATTGCGTTACTTGATAATGGGAATAAAGCACAATGCTGGGGTGTTGGAATGGAGTGTGTTGGAAGGAGCATAGTAGCTGGGTTGCAGCTTGCGAACAAGAGCCATAACATTTTGCCCACAAAACATTACAGTCGATTCACTTTACTGTGTTTATTCTATGGAGCGCTTTGATAAGGCGCTATATCAAATGCAAGGATTATTATTATTATGTAACACAATCGTGTAACATGGTCATGCAGAGCACAGCGGTTGGGTCTGAAGACATTGGTGCTCACGGTTCACAGTTGCTTTGAGATTATTACCAGGCTGTGTTCTGGACGGTCTGCTGGCGTAATACTACTGAGAGGTTTGGCAAGACAACCTCCCACATAAAAATGATAATCCTTGCATTTGATAGAGCGCCTTATCACGCCTTCGAGACATCTCAAAGGGCTTCAGCGCTCGCCAGGCTCTCGTCGCAAGGTGGAAGAATGCGATTTTCCAACATGTCTCGCAATGCATCGGAGGGCAGACCATAATGAGAGGTTGTGCAATTTGGCACGGCATTCCTCCAAAGGGAATCTCTTAATGGCCAGATGATTGGGCTGAGCTGATGGCATCCTTCGTGTGAGAAAGCTGTTATCGCCGCGGTTCGCGGAGAAACGTTTCCAGCTGCGTACCGCCCCTCCTCCCCCATTTGGAACGACACTCTCATCGAATGCTCACTTTGGAAACGCAAGAAGGGAGAAGAAGTGCTCATCTCACTCGGAGCCTGTGTGTTGCAACTCCACTGTATACCAGGACCACCTGCCGATAGGATATGAGGGAATATCCGAGGGGCTGTAACACTCAGCAATATATTCAGTCAGATGAGATTCAAAAGAAAAATGCTTGCATCCTCCAAAAAAAAAACCGTAAAGAAATCTGAGATGAAATCTGGTGACGAGGGTTGTAATGTGTTCCTGTTAAAGCAGCCGTTGAGCAACTTTATTACTGTGGTTTTTTTTAGATACCATAAAAAATTATGGATCACCGCAGTGGTATGTTATAAGCGCTCTACCAGATTGCTGGGCTGTTTAACGAGTGAGATGGTCCTGATGTTTGGGGAGGCGACAGGTCAATTAAAAAAAAATGCTTCTCTTCGCAAGAAAACCCTGCAATACCTGAAACGCCGTAGACTTTCCGGTCAGGATTGACCCAGAGTCGCTATCAATTTTAACACCTTACGGGGCTGGTTTGATTTGGTAATGAAATGTGAGTGCGGATAATTTTGTCAGGACGGGAAACCACTGAGCAATTACCGCCTTGGAGCTGAATTAACCTCAAGCAGATAGTCATTAACCCCCCAAGGTGCATTAATGGACGAGTCGCTATAACCGTGCCTGTATTAATTCATCGCCAGACGGGCATCTTTGGTCGCAGTAACCACCACACTCTCAGGCAGCTTCCACCGTCATCACGGCTCGCTGTTTGCCCTACAAAAATCAAACGAGACTGCGGGTTATACGCAAATTGGTTACACACGTAGGTGGCAAACACGGAACCATCAATCCGGCTTGGGTACGATTAAGCACGGTGATGGGTTTAGAACGTAAGGGGGTAATAACCCCTTCAAAAAAAATGTTTTAAAAATAACAATTTGGTCACTGTTTGTGGGGACGCTGCTGTGCGCAATTGGCTGCCGCGTTTCGCCCACAAAATATACAGTCAATCCACTTTACAGTATATTCTGTGAAGCGCTTTGAGATGTCTCAGAAGACGTGATAAGGCGCTGTGTCAAATGCAAGGATTATTATTTTAATAGAACGTAAGAATCTGCCGGGCGAAAGAAGACCCGAGGTCCATCCCATCCAGTTCGCCTTCCACCATCCCGGCAGCCGCATGACATGTCGTTTCCCAAACTATATACTGTGTATCACGAGATATTATTTCCTAAGAGAAATGTATCTAACTTATTCTTGAAACAACACTTTCTGCTTCACGAGGGTTTCCGCTTATGTAGGACGGGCAAAAGTCTAACCCCCCCTCCCGCCCCCCCCCCCCCCACGCAAAAGAAAACTGCACCATCATTCCCGGTAACAGCTCCCAAACATCTCCGCTGAGCAGTTCATCAGAACACAGTCGCTTGATCAGAAGAGCAAACACAAAACCAAATGCTCAGAGAGAGAGCCCACGAGGGATGGACAGGAAACAAAGGAAACACTGGAGTCTCTCTATCAAGTCTCACCTTCTACATCATTTGAAGAAGCTTTTGTTAACAGCCGGCAAAAGGAAAGGTGTTTAACACCCCCCCCCCCCCCAAAAAAAAAAAGAATCGCCGCCGAAAACAAATGCAAAGGATCATTGATAGGCTTGCGGTTTAAACCTGGCTCAGTTGCAGGGCGTGCTTTTACCACAATCCTGTTTCAACCTACGCCCAGTGCACGTTGCAATGCAGAAACTGTCAAATCAATCCAGTGTCCGCTTCAGCAAACCTTTCAACAAAGGTCGGTAAAGATACGCAAGGAATTGCACATCAACCGATGCAAAAAGGAGCACTGTTTCTCTTGTCTCGCCTTATTCCGCTCCTCTTTCTCTCTCTTTCTCTCTCCTATTTCTCTCTCTCTATCCTCTCCCTCTATTCTCTCACCTCTTTCTCTCTTATCCTCTCTCTCGCCTTTTCCTCTCATTCTCTCTCTCCCTCTCAGCCCCAGCTTTGCTGCAGAGAGATTTCGGTCAGACAGTCGCTGAATTTGAGGCTGTTGCTGCCACCTGCAGACCATACCGTTGACAGTCCCTCGTGAAACAGGAGAGAACCCGAGCAGAAACGAAGAAGATTTGTGTGCAATGTTGGGGTTAGGTCGCAGTTGCTCGAATACTGCTCCATTCTTCACACGTTTACCGTTTGCGGGCAGGCGATGAGACACATTTCCTGAAGCGAGAGATGTCGGTATTGGGAAAGAGAATTGAATCTTTCCCAGTATGTGACAACAAAAGCAACAACAAACAAAATTACGTTAGTAAAGCTCCCTTTTTTTCACGTCGGGAGAACGTCCCAAGGCACTGAACAGTCAGGGATCAGGACCTGATTGGGGGGTGAGGGTGGGGAGCAGGGTTGGGATTAGGGAGGGTAGAGAGGTAGGAGGGCGGCTGAAGGCACGGTCCAAAAGGAGGGTCTTGAGTCTATATATAGATGTATTATATAGGTCTTTGTTCCTTTAGCTCAATACAACACTCCGATCTCAAGTGAAGGGATGTGGATGATAATAATAATACACCTTGCATTTGATATGGGACCTTATCATGTCTTCGAGACGTCTCAAAGCGCTTCGCAGCGGTGTCCCACAAACAGTCGTGGATCGTAACCAAATTATTTTTTAAAATTGCTTCTGAAGGAATTATTAACCCCTTAAAAGCAATCCGCAAATTGGCTGACAACCAGGTTCCTACTAACTGCTAGGTGAACAGGCATGTGGAGTAAGGAAATTTGCCCAACAGGCGATGTGGTGAAGTGATAAAGTAATGGTACCTTACACCAAATATAGACATACAACCAGTGTCCCTTCACCAGAAAGTCACACACAAACATTCACGTGAGAACTAATGTTGGATGTAAACTAAAGTCTTTGTGGCATAATAATAATAATAATAATAATAATAATCTTTACGTTTGATGTGGCATCTTAACACGTGGTCGAGATATCTCAAAGCACTTCGCAGAATTTCACTGAGAAGTGTAGTGACTGTGTATTTGTAGGCAAATGTTTCATTTAATGCTGCTCTGAGCTAGTAAAGGTGCTGCCCTAGACCATATGCTGAAAAGCTTTGTCTAATCCTAATTTTGTTTTACAATATCTGGTGCTCGCTGACATTGTGCACTGAGTTCTATTCTCCACCGATCTTCCATTGTAGCCCTGAGACTTAGGCAACCGACCTCTTCAGACTGAGAGACAGACATCTGTTTGTACTTCTGTTTAATTTTGCATTCACTAATGCCATATGTAGACATTTTATTCATTTGCTATACCACAAAGAATTCGACTGTTGAATAAGTCTCAACATCTACTAGAGCCGCCATGCTTATTTGTCTTATAATTGCATTTTAAGGCCAGCTCATGTTTTGTTTAAAAACAGAGTTTCATTTTGAAAATCAAGTTTTTTTCACATGAATTGAAAGACACGGACCATTTCATTGAACAAAGACTTGCAAAGAGTATTAATGTAACATTAGATCTAGCCTTTCACCTGAAGAATCTTGCTCTGTGGGTCTCTGTAACTGGCAGCTGGGAGATGTAGAGCCGTACAATATTGCAGCACAGAAGGAAGCCATTCAACCTATCATCCATGTGAAGGCTCTGAAAGAGATAGCTGATTAGTCCCATTCTCTGACCTTTTCTCTGTACCCCTTTATCGGTATGCGAGAGATTTATTTTGAAAGTTTGTCTCTCTCTCCCTACGAATAACTTACCAAGATGGCTTGACACTTAGTGGATTTGTGGGACAGCACAGTATAACTTTTAATAATAATAATAATACTCCTTGCGTTTGATATAGCGCCTTATCACATCTTCGAGACATCTCAAAGCGCTTCATAGGATATACTGTAAAGTGAACCGACTGTATATTTTGTGGGCGAAACGCGGCAGCCAATTGCGCACAGCAGCGTCCTACAAACAACCGTTCGATTGCGTTGCCAAATTATTACAGTATATCCTTTGAAGCGCTTTGAGACGTCTTGACGACCTGATAAGGCGCTATATCAAATGCAAGGATTATTATTATTATTATTATTATTATTATTATTATTATTATTATTATCTCCCTGCAAAGGGAGGGTAGTGGCACCTTACACCTTGAAACCTGCGCAGGACTGATAAAAACAGCAGAGATGTAATCAATTGGATTTCTCACGTACAATGTATGCCTCTCTGTGCCTTGCTTTGCCAGTGTCTGTCGGATTTGAGTACGAGTCTTGCGCCAACCTGATTCTGTGGGAGAAGAGGACAGCCTTGCTTCAGGGTTACGAACTGGATCCCTCGAACCTGGGTGGCTGGTCACTGGACAAACACCACGCATTGAACGTCAAGAGCGGTGGGTTGAGAGGGTCTCCCATTTGCTTTTCTCCCGCCCGTCGTGCAAAAAAAAATCCCTCTCGGATTCCTATCGTGTCCCTGACCAGTTAATTTTGTGTCCCCGACAATCATTGCAACCATGATGTGTGTGGACGGCTGATGTGTACGGTTCCATCTTCAGCGTGGGAAGCGGGGAAAGTTTGTTTGATTAACATTGATTAATTAATTGTGGGTTTTTTTCAAAAAAAAAGCCTTGGTTTGCGACCCTCTTTTTTTAACTCTCTCTCTCCGTGTGTTTCAAAGCAGGGCGGGTTTTATATTTATTCGCTCGCCACCTCTTCTCTCGTCGTCGCTGTCCGCGGATTATTCTTTGGTTTGGGAGGGGTGTTGACTTGGACGGTCTCTGACTCTCTCTCTCTCTCTCTCTCTCTCTCTACCCCAGGTGTCCTGCACAAAGGGAACGGGGAGAACCAGTTCTTATCCCAGCAGCCGGCCGTGATCAACAGCATCATGGGCAACAGCCGACGTCGTAGCATATCCTGCCCTAGTTGCAACGGCCTGGCGGAGGGCAACAAGCTCCTAGCCCCTGTGGCCTTGGCCGTGGGTATCGACGGCAGCTTATATGTCGGCGACTTCAACTTCATCAGACGCATCTTCCCCGCCAGGAATGTCACCAGTATCCTCGAGCTGAGGTAAGCAGCACGGTAATAAATCACTGTCACCTGGAGATTTCTGGTCTGCTGCCATCGCCGGCTCAAATACGATCGCTGGATTTACCTTAAATTACACGAAGCTTAAGCGAGCTCGCTGAAAGAGAAAGGACGCCCGTCGCCACACATTACTGTACACAGCCACTTGTTCGAATTGTTGTTCTCTCTCCCCTACCCCGTTGCTTTGCTTTCGGAGTGATTCTCTTGGGCTTCCGCATGTGTCAGACGCCCGGCTGACCAAAAAAGAATGCCATTCGCTTGCTTAACCTGCCGGGTACTCAAAAGGCACTAGTTAGCGTGCGTAGCTTTCGCAACAGTGCAATTGAAAATATTAATTTCTCTGTGTAATTTCTGCCCTGCTTTCTTACACTCCTCCCGCACCTCCTGTCCGTTTCCCAGCTCCCACCCCCAACCCTCCAAAAAAAAAAAAGCATGTCTGGAAAAAACATTTTACGATTTGACGGACAGTTTGTAAATTTCATACTCGGATCTTCATTCGCTACTTTGGCAATAATTTACGCTGAGCCTTACATTTCTGGGTAAGTGCAGCAACTCTGGATGTGCATGGCTTTGTTGGAGACCTCAACATTTTTAGGACCCGTTGGAAATCAGAATTGCAAAATGACAACGCCTCACCCGACCGACTGTTCATGTACTGTTTCCCTTGGGTTTTTTTGTGTTTTAAAATTCTCTATGGTTTTTGTTCTGTCTAGCTGTCTCAATACCTTCCCCCATTATCATACTCATTCCCTTTCTTCCCTTTTCATTCCCTGTTGATTCTCTCTCTTCTTTTCTCCTCTCACCCACCCCCCACCCCCGAAAAAAATATCCTCTCGCATTTTCTCCCGTCAGGGCTACGGCATTACTGCGGTACAGTTTTGACAGGCACTGTAAGCCTTCTGCTAGTATCTTCCCCCTAGTGCCTATTTTTTATATATGTGCCTTCCTCAGTCAATGAGCAATGGGAGGTTACTCAACTACAAGCAAACCTGAGCTTGATTTTATCCTCATCTTACATCCACACATGCGTAATGTGCTGCAGCAAAACACTACATAGAGATTAGGAGGAGGAACTCTGAGACAACACTGAGACCCAATTGTCACAACCCTCACCCTTGGTCGAGTTGAGGTCAACTCATTTAAGAATGAACAGCATTGAACAGTATTTGTCCGACAAACACCACACCTTACAGTATACCTTGCGAAAAAATTTGAGACGTCCTCGTGACGTGAAAGGCACTGAATCAAAATGTCAGGATTATTATATTACAACTCCAGATCTTTCCCCAATTGCATATCTGAACCGCGGAGAATGCTTGCACTGGCTGAGTCTTTCTCTCATTCCTTTTCCCTCCTTGCTTTCCACTTCCTTTTCCATGTTATCTCTTTCTCCTTTTCTCACGTTTCCTATTTTGCTTTGCCCTCGGTCCGCACATTTAACTCTGCTCTGCTCAGCTGTCAATCTAGGTCAACCAGAAAAAAAAAACCTGCCCAGTGCCAGTAAAGGAACGTGTCCTAACGGATCGGGCGTACAAATTGATTTACCATGAAAAACAATGCTTTAAAATATCACTATTTCAGTAATACTTCTCATCCAAAATATACTGGACATGGCTATAAATTGACATATGGCCTCCAGTAGTTTGTAAACAAAAATGAGTTGGATATTCATCTTGGGATATTTTTCTTCAGTAGTTACTTGACTTGAGTAGTTTGGAAGCTTATCTATCTCAGAATTTGAGCTTAATGCTAGCTGACAAGGCTGATGAATTTTTAAACCACATTTCAAAAATTGAAGAGAATAAAAGTGCTTACTTTCACCCAGAAAATCAGCCCGGCTGAGATTCCCAAACGCAAAATCCCTTCCAAATCCTACGCTGGTACCGCAAGCGCCCCACGGATGTCGTCTTGGCTGGATGTGGCCTGGCTCATACGTCAAGGCTGTATGTAAGTCAAGGCTGTGGGTTCAAGCCCCATGTCAGGACTTTGAACTCACAAAGTCTCGGCTGAGACTCCAATGCAGTGCTGAGGGAGTGCTACATTGTTGGAAGTGCGTCCTTCGGATGAGACATTGAACCGAGGCCCTATCTGCTTCTCCAGGTTTCTTAGTGTCTCCCTGTGTCCTGCATAACAATCCCCCAATAAGGTTGGCCGCTCACTTCATGACTGTTCCCAAGTGAGACATTGGTGTGCACAAATAGGTTGCTGCTTTTGGTGACAAATACAGAGCGACTGCACTTTGCAAAGAATCCTGGTGATGTCTTTCTGACACGAAAAGGCGCTGTTCCAAATGTAAGGATTATTTATTGCTATTTATTGATGTGGGCGTCCTCTCCCCCCAAAAAAATATCCATTCCTTGAGAAATTAAGCGAATTAAAGTAAAGCGTACGCCTGTTATTCCCATTGCACGTTGTGAAGTCAAACCTAAAGTCTCTGCTTTTCACATGACATTTCAGGTCAAACCTTATAATCTGTGTACAGGTCCCTGACCATCATTTGATTATCACCATGACAACAGTCATCAGTTTAAATAAACAGGGCCAATGAGATTATTGAAAAGCCGCTCTGTGATCTCTGGCCGTGTGACATTTTATAAAATAACACAGGTCGCAATGTGCTTTAGCGATGCCACTCCATTGCTAAACTGCTTGATCCTTGCAGTTTGCAATATCATCTGTAGCTCCTCAAAGGATTATTGCCTTAAAGCTTCCTCCCCTTCAGGCCTCATACCATACATAGCTCCAAACACATTGAGGAAGCCATGTCATTACATTCGGAGTGCTGGATCCCAGCAGTTTTATTTCTTGGTTTCCGGTTAGTCCTGGTTCCGAGAAAGGTTCCTGTGCAAGAATTCAAGGTCACTGTTTGTGTGACTGAATTCGAGCGCAGGGCTCTGATTTTATTTAATCTTCCATTCAGCGCAACCCCAGTCGCCCACCTGATGGTGAAATTGCCTCCAGTGGGAACCATTAGACACAGACGTCAGCATCATGACGTGACGTTGCATGCAGCCTCAATCCCCTCGGCACCATTCGATTAGGTGCTGAGCGGTAACCGGGACAGTCAGGGAGATTGACTTTCTCATCCGGTGTTGCAGTCACTAAGCCCTTAGCAGATGGGTATGAAGCACTAGGAGTAGAAACTTTGCAAACGTGGCAGTTAATTTGCGCACAGCAACGTCCCACAAACAGCCACAAACTGAACGACCAATTGTGCTTGGGGATTAGCCGGCCAAGTCACCAGAGAGAGAGAGAAGCTCCCTCCTCTTTTCAGTTCACACCACGGAATCTCTAACGTTCACCCGAACGGGCAAACGAGACCTCGGTTTAACGTCTCATCCGCAAAACCTATTACCTTTCCTCTCTAATCAATTCCCAAATACTCCCTTTCATCAGCAGCTCAATCATGCTGCGTACTGAAGGTTAAAGCGATCAGCACTTTTCACAAAAATCCCCGCTATAAACAGCCCTTGTCATTATTTCTCATTTGCATCTCATTGAAAGAAAATTATTCAGACAGGTTTCTTTATTGATTTTTATGTGGACCAGATCCATTAGATATCACGTATGAGATCTTTACAGCACACCGCAGCTTTACAAAGCGTTTGATTCTCGTCAGCGCAGATTGTGTTATAAATAGGGAAGTGCGAATAATCGTTTAAAGGCTCCAACATTCTCCTGCAATGTATTGAGTGTTCCAAACGCTGTGTTAGCCAAACATTGTGCTGATATCTATCTCACTTGGGTCAAACACGCACTGTTCTCTATCACTTAAAGGGATTTCCCATTATAAGCACGAGGTGAAGCATTTGCAGGTCTTAGTGAATATTGCGTGCTGTTCCCACTGTGATCTAATGGGCTCATAGTATTTTCTTTCCTGTTACATCTGTCAGATTTTAAATGACTAACTTCAGCCACCATTTGACGGACTAATCATGCAATGTATGTCTCGCATAATTTTGCCTGTTCCTCTTTCCTCCTTTGCTGTCTTTCCACAAAGAAATAAAGATTTTAGACATAGGTAAGCCGTTCACTTTTCACCTCCCCTCTTCAGAAAGTATCTTGTCTTTGTTTGTGCGATTCCTGTTCAGTGCATTAGGAGCGAAGGTAACTCTATGAATAAGTACTATCAATGGTAAGTAGTAGGAGTGGTCAGTACTTACCCGGAGATTACCTCCCTGTGTTTAGCTTTCCAAAGAAATAGTAGAGAGAGCTTATCCTGTTGGTGATATCGATGCCACCTAATGTCACCGAGGATTTAGTTGGTCTCTGATTAGTGGACCATGTTCCCGTTGGCACCCTACATTGGATCTTTCATATTAATTGGGGATAGGTCAAGTGAAATTGCTTCCTATTCTCAATTTTCCCATTTAAAAACTGGATAAGGACCAGAAAAAGCTTTCTGACTGTGCTCTCATTGAAGCAAAATTCTGAAAATCTCCTCATGGGAACCAACGACAGCGATATATTTGGCTGAGTGAGATATTCTCCCCTTTTGACGTAGAAAGGTCGTGGAATGCGCACATGCTTAACTGTGCCAACTATCTCTTCCCTTGCCACTCCTGGCATCTCACAGTGCTGCCATCACCACTATGTCGATGCATTTCATACTATCGGAATTGGACATTGATCACCAGTGTAGACAACAAATATTGGCTCTCATGATAATTCTCACGACATGCTCAATGTGAATGTACCCTTTCGGTTTGAGTGCTACAGGATGGAGCTATGGGTACCCGCTAGTTTGTTGAGTGAACATTGGATTACCTGGGATGCTCAACCAATGAAGTATCCTTTTACAGTCCCTTCAATCCTTAACATTGGTGTAGATAAATAAGACAGGTCTATTCAGAGGCTGCTCTGTGGTAGTTTTTTCCCTCTGCCCATTCCCACTGGCACTATTAGCGAGAATATTCAATAACCCTTATTGACACCGCACCACTTAAATAAGATCCACTGTTTACTACAAGGAAGAAGGAAAGATTCGCAGAGTTGCATGAAGGAAACAAAGGGCAATTCTTTACGCAAATACATGGAGGGAATCTTGGCATGGTGACGCACTGTTGATAGTGTTTAGTCATGGAGTTACTATTTCGCTCAGTGGATGATGTTTATAAATAGATTTCACACTGTGTATTTTTATTGAACTTGTCACATTATTTGGTGCTTTTTAAAATGACTATTGTTGAAAATGATGCGTGTTCTTGTGGGTTTAAACGTGTGTGTGCCTATTGTTTCTAGTTCAAGGTTTTCTTTGCTTTTGACACTATTGTCCATCGATAAATGAGAATTTCTAATGTTTTTGCAACCACCGTCCAAGAAAATAGTCAGCAGTACCCAGAAATTGAAAGAATGCCTTAATCTCGTTGCCATTTAATGCTTATTCTTTTCCCAGCAGTTTTGTTTTATCAAAGTTTTTTTAAAATTATAATTCAGTTTTGACTTTTATCATTATGCGATCAGCACAGTAGAAAGAACATACTGTGTCTGAGATTGGTGACAAGGTGATAAATGGCAGGGCAACCGAGTAGTGAAGTGGGTTAGTGAAGTGCCCGTTGATCTCAAGAAACTGGATTTAAATCCGATCAATAGGTCACAAGGACATCTGACAAGTGATAAAGGAAAATATTCCTGTGGTTCTGTGCTGAATGTCTATTTGTGGCTTTGGAAGTAAAGCTCATTGTTTGACCAAAGTAAAGTCGGACTGGACTTCTCTATGGTACTGGGAATATTTATGTTGGGAATGGGTTTAATTTTCTGTCAGTCATCTTGATAGGCACAAAGTTTCACCACACAAAATGGGGTTAATTGGGTGATAAATTTGATGATTATCATGGGAAGCACCATTGAGAAAGGCTTTGGGAGCCCACATTGCAGAAGATTCAATGTGATAAACATGAAATGTTCTGCTAAGTTATTGGTGTAGGACCTGAAAGCGTTACTGGTGTGGATATGTAAAGTGCGCAGCAATGAGGAGTTTGGAATATATCAATGTGTGATAGCATGAATCTCCATATCAGACATTCCTCTCTAGATGCAGTTCGAATGCTTGAAACCAAATCGATCCCAGCTGTAATCAAAGGCAAACTTCAGAGGTTCAGAGATAAAACATGTGACTGGTTCTTGGCCTCTTGGCTCTTTTTGTGGCACTTAAATTGAATCGTTTTATCAGTTTGGGTTCAGCCTTCACTTGAAGGAGCGTTTTAGCCTTGTGATGATAAGTTGCATCCTTAATAGAAAAAAAACCAGCATATTAAAGTTGCAAGTTATGAGCCAGTTCGGGTTAACAGCAGAATCTTCCTTGCAGAAAGGAAGCTTCCATTTCCATTTTTAGTGCTACATCCAGAATAGAGTGGGAATAAAAATACAGCACAGCACTGAGGCAGCTGCTGCGATGGTGATATTGACGCACATTTGCGGTGCAGTTTAGGATTGTGTTTCTGTGCTGCTGTAGTCGATCAAACGTTTTAAGACGGGGAAATTATCTTCTTTTAAATAAAAGCAAAGCACCTTCACTGCGGGGCGGATGTCTGTCTAACTTTGCAGCCAGAATCTCCGACTTGTGAACTTGAACTTAACGTGTGCTTTTCTTTCCCACCTTAAAGCAACAACCCGGCCCATAAGTACTTCATGGCTGTGGATCCTGTCACGGGAGCGCTGTATGTCTCGGACACAAACAGCCGGCAGATCTTCCGCATTAAGTCTCTCTCGGGAGCCAGGGATCTTGTCGGTAATTCAGAGGTTGTGGCAGGGACTGGGGAGCAGTGCCTGCCTTTTGATGAAGCCAGGTGCGGTGATGGAGGAAAAGCAGTGGAGGCCACACTTATGAGCCCCAGAGGTATTCTCCTTCATGTTACTTTACAATAGCACGTGTGTGTGTGTTTGTGTGTGTGTGTGTGGGTGGGTGTTCTGTTTGCAAAATGCATCAGTACGTACATAAATGTTGCATTTATTTTTCTGGAAGGTAACATGGCACAGAGGCCCTCGGCAGCATTTAGGAGACAATTCATTCACTGCAGGCAAATAGAAAGGCAATTGATGGAGAGGTTTGCTAGCTTCACATATTTAGTACACCTGCATTGCATAGTGACTTGTTTGGAAAATGCATTGTACGCTAGGAGGAAGGAGTTAAACCTTCACAAAGTCAGGAGTGAGTAAAACCTTCATTAATGTCCTTGAATCAAAGAGCTGAATAAATGGGTCAGATTCCAAAAAACAGTTCCTGATCGTCATAAGCAGGAGAGAAAGGCAAGGAATAATATATTCGAAATAAATAGCGAACAAAATTGGTTTAGTCTGAACCATGTACTATTGGCGATAGTAAATGATCCAGTATGTTCTGTCCTCGAATGAAATAAAGCACACATTAATTACATCATTCTCGCGCTTCAATTATTTCCTCTTATTCAGGTACTGAATAATTCACTATCATTATTTATTAGATGGCCGGGTTATTTAAAAGACTGGTCGCATTAATTCTCTCAAGCTGCCTCTCTTCTCTGACCTTTCGAGCAGGATGTCAATGCTGAAGAATGCTACATTTTCCATTTTATTTTGCACTTTACCCACCCAGTCTCACAGCACCCCAAGTCAAATGATTCATTAGTAAGAGTTGCGCAAAACTCCTTCTATGCTGTCCCACCATAGTGTTTGCACCCAGCCCCTTGCATTTCCAAAGAGCATTTAATCTTCACTGCATCACCACGGCAATTTAGTTCCACTCCTCGCCCACCCTCGTGCTCTGTCCTTTTAAGCCCAGCCTGGCAACTTATTAAAGTCAATCATTCCGATATTGTGGGGAATTCTGTGCAGCAAAATCATGCTTCCCGGGCAATAGCTTGAGACAAATCAAACTCTTAATACTTTGGAGATTTCCAGGAATCAAAGAGAGACTTTCATCCCAGTCGGCTGGATTGAACTCGAGCTTCAGAGCTGATATGACAGTGCTGTAACTCGCTGTGACAACCTGGTTTACTCCAGGGGTCCTAAATTGTCTTGTGTTCTCACCAGGGATCGCAGTGGACAAGAATGGCTTGATGTATTTTGTGGATGCAACAATGATAAGGAAAGTTGACCAAAATGGAATCATTTCCACACTGCTGGGCTCCAACGACCTAACAGCAATCCGTCCCTTGAGCTGTGATTCCAGTATGGATGTAAGCCAGGTAAAATGTTATAGAAAAGGCAGTATTTGTCTTCCATAGGATTTATTGAACTGATCTGGCTTTCCTTTGTTTTATACTCTGGTTAGGTAGAACACTCACTGTAAAGCTGGGGACCTTTTCATATTTTTGGATCTCCTTTCTGTTGAATCTGATTTCAGAGTAGCTACTGCACGATGTCCTGAGCTCCAACCAACTTTGGCTCATCCATTATTGTGAGACAATTACTTAACACAATTGTTTTCCTTATGATCCAAGGGCTGGAGATCAGCTCCAGTGCTTTTGAGGAGGATATAGGAAGGTGTATTTTAGAACAGGTCCTTCAGATTGGTTCACTATAAAAAAGAAATGGATTAAGAAACCACAGGAATTTTACAGCAAAGGGTATAATTGTGAACCATAGAAATTGATACGGAAATATGTCTTAAATGGTTTCTCTCTCGAAGGACAATCCAAACACTGGACAGTCAAGGATGCACATTCCAGCTTGGGGTTGTGATCAGGAATCATATATAGAGGATGATCAAAAAGTCGTGATACCATTACGATGTCTAATAAGTTCTAAAGAAATGATGATATATTTTTTTAGATAATAGGGTAGTTTTCACGACTTTTTGGTCAACTGGTATATCTATCTCTATCTAATATATAGTGAATATATAATGAAGGGTGTAATTGTGAGCCATAGAAATAGATACGAAATTGTGATTGAAATGGTTTCTCTATCACTGTGGAAGCCATAAGAAAAAATAGGCATCGACTCAGATGCTGTGATTTATGAAAGGGTGCTGTACTGAGCATCAAGGTATAAGAAAGAGAAAAGCACATTGCATTGCTTTTATTATGGTGCTGGGGTGGTGGGTGGGGGAGAAGCAGGCGTGTTACAGAGAGGTTTTCCTGTTGTTTTTCTACTGGACACCGTCAGCCGAGAGCAATGAAGAACTTACATGTACGTGCCCTGGCTTAGTTTAGCGTCCAGTGAGATCCAGCGAAGACTACAACTCAGTTTTAAGGGCCAGAGTAAAATTGCGTGAATTGAAGTGATATCTGTGCTATCAGGAAAACTATCTAACCGCAGTCTGAATCCAAATCAAAGAAATCAACAACCTTGAGAGCCATGAAAGCCAAATAATGCCTTTTCATTGAAATTATCTTTTTGTTTTCTTGCGACGACTGCATTCTATTCTGCGATTCCAATTTTCCTCTCCGTAGGTGCGATTGGAATGGCCGACCGACCTTGCCATTAACCCGATGGACAATTCCCTCTACGTCCTGGAGAACAATGTAATTCTGCGTATAACCGAGAACCACCAGGTCAGCATCATAGCCGGGCGCCCCATGCACTGCCAGGTCCCAGGCATTGACTATTCCCTCAGCAAACTGGCCATTTACTCTGCGCTGGAGTCTGCCAGCGCCATCGCCGTCTCCCACACCGGGATCCTTTACATCGCGGAGACGGACGAGAAGAAGATTAATCGCATCCGGCAAGTGACGACCAATGGGGAAATCTCCCTGCTGGCGGGTTTGGCCTCGGACTGCGACTGCAAGAACGACGTCAACTGCGACTGCTTCTCCGGTGATGACGGCTACGCCACGGATGCCAAGCTGAACTCGCCTTCCTCGCTGGCCATCTCGCCGGACGAGACTGTTTACATCGCTGACCTGGGCAACATCCGCATCCGAGCCATCAACCGCAACCGGCCGCTACTGAACGCGATGAACTTGTACGAGGTGGCCTCGGCGGCGGAACAGGAGCTGTACATCTTCAACCTGGACGGGATCCACCAGTACACCATGAGCCTGGTCACGGGCGATTACATCTACAACTTCTCCTACAGTATGGACAACGACATTGTGGAAGTGGTCGACAACAACGGCAACACGCTCAAGATCCGTAGGGACAGCACCGGTCTGCCGCGTCACTTGCTGATGCCGGACAACCAAGTCTGCTCGATATCCATCGGCAGCAGCGGAGGACTCAAGGCCATATCCGTCCAGAACCAAGAACTAGTTGTTTTCACGTACGATGGGAACAGCGGTCTCCTGGCAACCAAAACGGATGACATCGGCTGGACCACTTTCTTTGAGTAAGATTCGTTCGTTTCTAAAAACGCCTCGTTTTTGTAGATGGGCGAAGTGCACCGGAGGCTGCTTAATGCTGAGTGAGTGCACACCGGCAAATTGGAAGCTAGTGCACGCAGGTTTCATGTTATCTTTCGGCAGCTTGAGTATATTTCCTTCTATCGATTCTGCCGTGAAGTGTCATTCTACGAACGTTCCTCCCTTATTCTTCCCAAGCTCTAAATGTGTTGCCGTATACGTGCACCTGCGCCTCTCTATGTTGTAATAATTAAGTCAGGAACACTCTTGACACTCAGATCAGGAGGTTGGAGGTTCAAGCCCCGCATTGGGACATTGAGCTCACTTTTACACTGACCCCTCCCGTGCATCGACAGAAGTGATGTTCTTTGGATGAGATGTTAAATTGGGTTCCCTTCTGCCTATCCAGGTGAATGTTAAAGATCCTATAGCACTATTGTAAGAACAAAAAGGGAGTTTATCCCAGTGTCCTAGTTAAATTATTTATTCACTTCATGACTGTTTGTGGGACATTACTGTGTAAATTGACTGGGGTGTTTGGCTATAAAGGCCGACACTTTACAACAAAGGCTGATGAAATGATTTGAAACTTTATATGTGCATTCTCAACCACAAGGATTAGTATCATTACAATCTCCTACAACGACAAAAACAACAACAACTTGCATTTATATAGCGCCCTTCACGTTGGGCAGCGTCTCGGAGCGCTGAGCCTGACGCAGAGCCAGGGGGAGGGAAGAGGTAACCATAAACACGGACGAAGAGGAGACTTCAGGTCTTCAGTTGTGAAGAGGGGAAGGAGGGGGCAAGGCGGAGGGATTGGGGAAAGAGTTCCAAAGTGCGGCCACTCATGGTGGAGAGGAGGGGACAAGGGACAAGCAGGAGGCCAAATCGTATTGTAACCCAAAAGTCCTTACCTCCCTCTCACTTTGTTTCCTTTTGTACCCTACAGTCTTTTAAAACCCAAGTTTTGTTTGACCAAACCACTTCTCAACTTATCTGCTTGTCTCCACTACTGTTGTCCATCTTGGTGTTGGACTGAATTGTGGCCTTTCTACCTTCAACTAAGTGAAAGAGTCTGGATCGATGGCCTTGTTAAGAGGAAGCAAAAAAAATGCATGATCCTAAAAATACACGAGAAGTAATTTAACAGTGGAACTCTCAACCACTGTCTAATTAATAAATCCAACCACTTAATAAATGGAATTTTTACTATGAAAAATGAGGTGGCGATGAGACATGTACAGGTTTGGACCTCAGTGATGTCACAAAAACCTAAGTAATGAAATGCCACGTGCAATGTATTACATTAATCTACAGTGCGGTGTGATTAATTGCAGGCACCTAATATATGACCGCTTAGATTTTTGTAGCTCAAGATGAACGGTCCCATGTGTTCAATTAAACATTAAGAATTAAGAATTGTCAGTGCATAACCTTTAAGGAGCCATGGGGGAGATATTCCACCTGGGTCTTCGTTTATTCTGTTGATGTAGCATTTCAGAGCATCCAGAATTAGGCAAGTACTAAAATCCAGCCTTCATTTTCAAACCTGGTTCTTTTAAAAAGCACAGGTAAACAGCTTCCATGTTAAGACTGCATTCTACATTTTCGCTGACTTCTGCATTCTCTGTAATGCTAAGAAAATAGAATAAATCTAGCTGTGTAGAGTCCTCTAGCGTATGTGGAGTCTTGTAAGGTATTGGCTAGAGCACTCGCCTCACAAGCGAGAAGACGCAGGTTCGGTTCCTGGGCAGGGCAAAGCCTTAGTCAAGTTTCTTTACTCCGGACGTCTCTGGTTGCCTGGCAATGAGTAGGAACCTGATTGTTAGCCGATTGGTGGATCGCTTTCCGGGGGCAATTATCCCTTCAAAAAGAATGCATAATAATTTGGTCACTCATTCCATGACAGTTTGTGGGACACTGCTGTGTGCAATTGGGTGTCTAACAAAAGTCCCAGGTGTTGTTTCTCCCCACCTATATTAACAAAGGATTGTCAGAGCTAAATCGTTTAAAAATGTGAAAATGTTTCAATAAACCTAAAAATTATCTGTTGAGGCTTCTTTCTAAGAAACAGCTCATTCGATAACAATATCTACTGGGTTACATGGAGGTACTCTTTCAGGGCATATATAATGGTAAAATCTTCCGTAGTGAGCTATCCAAAATCAAAGAATAGCAATCCATGCATCTGATGAAGGACATATAATGTTGAGAACATCTCAGAGCACGTCACAATGTTTCTGTAAAGCTTACTAGCTGTCTTGGCAGACATGTCATCCAATTTGCACACAGCAATTTGAATGGCCAATTTTATCTGGAGGATCAGTGGTGAGGACACTAAGAGGAACTTCCTTCTCTTTTCCAGTGGTGCCAAAAATGTATACCAGGTGTGCTTCAGTTTCTTTGTAACTCCAAGTCTTAAATATTCATCACACTCTATGTAATCCAATTCTAGATATCCAATCGTCTTAGTTCACTCACTTCCATGAACTTATTCAACTATTTATACCCAATTCCATGTATCCAGTGATCTAACTCACTCCCAAGATCTATTAATTTCTGTTATTGTTATCTGTTATTCTAGATGTAAATCATGGATTGACCTGATATAATGAATTTTTTTCACTTAGTTACGATAGTGAAGGACGACTCACTAATGTGACTCGTCCAACTGGGGTTGTCACCAGTTTGCATCGAGAAATGGAGAGGTCCATCAATATTGACATCGAAACCTCCAACAGAGAAGATGATGTCACAGTCACCACCAACCTGTCTTCTGTAGATGCATCCTACACGCTCGTTCAAGGTAAAGTGAAAACTGCGCACACATCAAAGTTCCATTGCCCACCGACACAGTTATAGACACACACACACACACACACTTGCTCCAAATTCCACCTTCTTCGCACCATTTTACCTTAAAATTTAGGATTGCGCAAAATTGGAGCAAAATTCTTACATTCAGTTTTAATTCGTAGGTTGAATTTCTGCGGCTCTTCAAAAGAAACCGGCTTCCAGTTTAAGGCTGAATGAGATAATTTTGCAGAATTCTGTGCGATCATAAATTTTAAGAGAAGACAGTCCCGAATAGCTAAGACCGAGTGGAATTTGGCCCCAGGCATCTTTTGCTCAATGATCTTCACGTTAGCATCTGTGCAAGTGTTTAAAACAAATCAAAACAAATAATGACTTTTATACTCTGTTAAATTACTTTTATGTCCTGGTAGTTATTCTGATTTGGCTGATAAATTTCACCGATACTGACTCAAATTGTCCAATACTTCATAATGTAGACATTTATGCCCTACGCATACACTAGAAACCACGGTATTATTTCTCACAGTTTATATATTTTTTTTTGCTAAGGCTTTCAAAATTGGTTGCTATAACTCAATATGTCCTGTAAAATTATACAAATGGGCTAGAACAAAAATAACGGCCTTACTGAACTCTGAACCATTCCTTATTTCCGTGATAATCAGCATAAAATAATCTGTTTCCCTGAAACAAAGCACCATTTATCAGTCCTTTTTACTTATTCATTTTGCACGCCCCAAGTTCTTGTTCCAGTGTCACCCAATAGTATATTGAATAAGAAGGTTGAAACTTCAGCAACCGAGTGTTGAAAGAGTTGTTGTCAGTTTTGGTTCTTCTTTCTTTACGCTCAGATATTTCAGGAAAGGTCTACATCTACAGTGAGTGGGAAGCAATGCAGCCCGTGACAACTTGTAAGAGGTCTTATTGAAGCCTATGTAGCGAGATCAGTGAGGTCCCATCACCTAGCAGCAATGCAAGGAGGACAAGCTACTTGTGGGCACAGATTTAACCCGCCCAGCAACTAACAAATTATTTGAATCTGTTGCATTCATAAGCCATGCTCGCCAGCTAAGTCTCCTTTTTTGGGGGGGCGGGTGTCTGACACATGCGGAAACTCATGCCCGTGCTTAAGAGCAGTCAAACCAATCTAGTCATTGAACTGTGAACCCGGAAGCAGCTCAAATCAAAGCCATCAGCAGGTGGGTCATTTGAGTCAGTTTATACCCTTGGCCAGCTTTATGTCATAGATTGCATTTAAGAACATGCTGTTGTTTCAGTTGTGATCTGCCAAGATTACATTGCTGTTCTCCATAGCTTCCTCCACGCTGAGTAGAGACCTGGCCTGTTGGTCTCTGCATCTTCGATGGAAGTCTGCCCATTCGGAGTGCTACTGTTGAGAAAAGCCATCTGCCCCTGGTTGTTCCATTATTAAAATACTAGATTTACTTTGTTCCTTAGCAGTTCAGTGTGCTGAATTTGGCAAATTCTTAAACGCATTTTGAAGTCTAAATTTCTCCGTGTGTTCTTTTAAGAACGACGCAAAACTGGCTTCAAAATCAAGATTTAATTGAAGAATCTGCCAAATTCTTCACACTCAGTACAGTTTATACTCGGGTGGATTTATTCCCCTCCCTAACCCCATTGTGTGTCATATAGTTGTTAACTGCTATGATATATTTTAATTTGTTCATCATTTTAAACAGATCAAGTGAGGAACAGTTATCAGCTTTGCAACAATGGGACCCTTCGAGTGATGTATGCTAATGGAATGGGGGTCAGTTTTTACACTGAACCTCATATACTCGCTGGCACCATAAGTCCAACTGTTGGCCGACGCAATATTACTCTGCCGGTGGAAAATGGACTGAACTCTATTGAATGGCGCCTCAGGAAGGAACAGACTAAGGGCAAAGTGACTGTGTTTGGAAGAAAACTTAGGGTAAGCAACTTCATAGAATCATAGAATCTTACAGCACAAAAGAAGACCATTTGACCCATCGTGTCTGTGCCAGCTCTTTGAAAAGAGCTATTCAATTCAATCCCATTCCCCCACACATTCATTAACATTTTGGGGGAGTCAAACACTATCTAGACTTTGAGTTCCACATAATGATTATATCTTGGAAGTCTTGTAGAATCAATCGATCGATCGATCGATCGATTGATTGATTGATTGATTGATTGGGTGGGTGGGTGGTTCGGTCGGTCGTGCACTTTGAAGGGGAAAGAAAAAAACAGCCAGTTTTCAAGCTAGATTATAACTACTGTAATGCGCTACCTGAAAGGATGGTAGAAGCAGATTTGATCATAGCTTTCAAAAGGGAATTAGATAGGTAATTGAAAAGGAAAAATTTGCAGGGTTATGGGGAAGAGCGGAGGAGTGGAACTAGTTGGGTAGCTCTTTCGAAGATTGGCCGAATGATCTACTTCTATGCTATAAGATTCTACAATTCTATTCCCCAGTGAACCCTGCTGGAAAGTGCTACTTTTTAGGCATTGAATGAGACAGGATCAGAGGTGCTTGTTGCTGAGTTTGCTGACGCTCACTGCTTAGGCGGACACACGAGTAACGCTCTCTTGAGTGAGATACCCTGCGGAATCAAACAACAAATTGAAGATTGGAGAAAAAAAACAAATAAACAAAACAGCACTGGTGATAAGATCGTAATTTGCCTCTGCCAGAGAATGAAGCAATTTCTCAAGCCCTCTGTTATCCACTTTATATTCTAGGTTTCGGACTTATAAAGAGAATAATTTTAAGGAGGCGCTTGAAAGCATAGCTCATGCATGTTTTTTTTTCGCGTGGGGGAAGGGGTGGGAAGAGGTGTTGGGAAGCTGTAAAGAAATGAAGTTTGCTCTCTTTAAAAATTCCATATGGAGAAAATCGATAATGAAACTGTTAACCATGATGTTCGTGCCCATTAGGGAAGGCTGAACGCACTGAAGCGTCTTTGAACCCAAGCCAGCCTTGCGATCACTTAAATCATATTGATGATAATTTCATTTGAAAGCTGTCTTCGGCATTGGCAAAGCCAGCCACAGAATGTAATCGTCTACGCCAGGCAGAGGCTATTACAATTAAAACGAAATAAATTACCGCGGTGTTCTCCCCCTCCTCGCCCCGCCTTTGGGTAAAGAAAGTGGCTTGGGGGGAATCCAAACAGAATAAGTGGGGGCGTATTCTTAAAATTAGAGCTAGGCCATTTAGGAGTGAAATCAAAAGACAGTTTTTCTACCTAAAGGGTAGTGTAAATCTGGAACTCTCTCCCTCAAAACGCTGTGGATGTTGCATCCATTCACATTTTCAAGACTGAGGTGGATAAATATTTGTTAGGTCAGGGTATCAGGGGACTATGGGGCATTAGAGTTGAGGTACAGATCACCCGTGACATAGTAAAGGTGGAACTGGCTTGAGGGACTGAATGGCCTGGTCCTGTTCCTTTGTTCCTATGGCATTTGTGACAAAAGGGCTCTTTCATCTCGAAACAGGTGCATGGGCGGAACCTGCTCTCCATCGATTTTGATCGCAATTCCCGCACGGAGAAGATCTACGACGATCACCGCAAATTCACGCTGAGGATTATTTACGACGCACTGGGCCGGCCCACCAACTGGCTGCCGAGCAGCGGCCTGGCTCCCGTTAACGTCTCCTATTCTCCGAACGGCAAGCTGATCGGAGTCCAGCGCGGGGTGATGAGCGAGAAGACCGAGTACGACGGGCAGGGCAGGGTTGTGTCAAGGGTTTTCTCTGACGGGAAAGTGTGGAGCTACGCATACCTGGATAAAGTACGTTTTCCATCAGTGAGTCCCACTAACGTAATATATACCAGAGGCGAGGGACTGCAGTTATGTGGAGAGACGAGAGAAGCTGGGACTGTTCTCCTTAGAGCAGAGAAGGTTAAGGGGAGATTCGATAGAGGTGTTCAAATTTATGAAGGGTTTTGATAGAGTAAATAAGCAGAAACGTTTCCGCAGGCGGGTGGGTTGGTAACCATAGGACACAGATTCAAGATAATTGTCAGAAGAAGCAGAGGAGAGATGAGGAGAAATGGTTTTGCGCTTCGAGTTGTTGCAATGTGGAACGCACTGCCTGAAAGGGGAAGCAGATTCAATAACAACATTCAAAAGAGAATTGGGTATTTACTTGAAAAGAAAAAAATTGGTAGGGGGAACAGAGTGAGGGAGTGGGACTAGTTGGTAGCTCTTTCAAAGAGCTGGCACAGGCATGATGGGCTGAATGGCCTCTTTCTGTGCCCCAGCATTCTATGATTCTACGATCTATAAAAGGTTTATTTTTTCAGCCCCAACTATGACTACCCTGCAGGCGTTTAGGTAATAGGATTAGCAAAGCACTGCTAGTGTAGCCTGCAATGTAGAAACAACCCCTGCGGCAGTTTGCAGGCATAGAAAATTTAATTATAAATAAAAATAATAATTAAATTGAGGCAAATTGGAATTTGGAAAGAGATTTTCTTCTGATGGGGATTATTTTGAAAATTGTATCTGAATGAGCTCTTATCGTAATGAAAGAGCGCTCTCAGAGAGTACCAATGTGCTTCCGCTTATGAAGAGCCACAGAAATCCTGTGCCACTCTGGCCCACTGCTGAGAGTGATGCTTCCTCTGTTCCCACTGTTCAAGGGACTTTGAAAGAATGGAGTCCTGTAGCCTCGCAAGCGAGAGACCTGGGTTCGATCCCCAGCAGGGTGAAACGTCGGGCAAATTTCCTTACTCCACGCGCCTCTGTTTACCCAGCGGTAAGTAGGAACCCGGTTGTTAGACGATTGGCGGATCGCTTTTCCGGGGATAATACTTCCTTCAAAAAAAATAATAATAATCAATTGGTCACTCGATCCACGACTGTTTGTGGGACACTGCTGTGTGCAATTGGCTGCTGTGTTTTGCCCACAAAAATACACAGTCAATCCACTTTACAATATATTCTATGAAGTGCTTTGAAGCGCTCAGCGACATGATAAGGCGCTATATCAAATGCAAGTATTATTGTTATCTGACAAAGAGTCTCTCCGTTACTTGCGCTGAATTAATAGAAATTGTATCTGAGTACTTTTATATCTTCATGGACTTTAAGAGACTGACTCAGTTAAAGGACAGGGTGATGCTGCTAAGTGCTGGTGTTCAGTTAGGTGAAGTGGGAGGACAACGTCAATCTGTGTTCAACCTCAGTTCAGGACCTGACCCGAGCCAAGCTGGGAGGTGTTGAGCTGAGGCAGTGACTGCAATCCCCTGTGTCCTGTTTTCCCACCAGATTGTAGTGGATTTGACACTCGGACTTTACAGGCTGCCTGAAGCAGAACAACACAATGTGTTTGACTGCCGAGTGTATGAGAGGGCATCACTAAACCTCACCAAAGCGCAATTCTGAATCCACAGCAGAAATGCCACTTGTTGATGGACAAGCCATGTTTTCCCTGAAATTCCCATAACTATTGTATTTCTTAGCGACGTAGAAAAATAGTGCTGTTGTTTCTAAACTCTTTACGCTCTCTTTACCATTAGGAATATACAATAATAGTATTAATAATAATAATCCTTGCATTTGATATAGCGCCTTATCAAGTCGATGTAACGCCTCAAAGCGCTTCACAGAATATATTGCAAAGTGAATTGACTGTGTATTTTGTGGGCGAAACGCGGCAGCCGATTGCACACAGCAGCGTCCCACCAACAAGCGTGGATTGAGTGACCATATTCTTTTTGGAGGGATTAAGGGATCCGCCAATCGACTAACAACCGGGTTCCCACTTACCGCCAGGTAAACAGAGGCATGTGGAGTAAGGAAACCCGCCTAAGGTTTTGCCGCACCCGGGAATTGAACCTGGATCCTCTCGCTTGTGAAGCGAGCTCGCTAACCACTATTCCACAGTACTCCATAATAACATAAGGAAATAGAGGGAAAGTAGGAGTCTACAAGAAAGGCATGTATTCCTACTTGTTACAAACAGAGCCACCCTCTCCTGCCGGGCTGTGTGGTACCGTGCCACTCTCTTGTGACAAAGGTTTAATGTAACAGAATCTTCGCTCTTGTGCTGCTCGCTATTCCTGTGTGATTGTAATAATGATACCTGCAATTGATATCACAGCTTATCGTGTCAAAACATCTCACAGCACTTCACCGGCTAAGTCCTTTTGAAGTGCAGTCACGTCTGCAATATAAGCAAACATAGCAGTAAGATGCCATACACAGCAATGAGATAAGTGGCCAATTAGTCATATGTGTTTGGTGAATTTTGGATGAGTAAAACGCCGAAAACAGCGAACTTCTTGCTCTTTAATATAAAATCCATCTCAATCACCATAATAAACAGGCAGGTCCTCTGCTGAACATCCCATGTGCCAACAATGCAACATTCCCTCAGTATTAAACTGGAGTGTGTCAACTTCAAATGGGATATCAAGCCTTGATCTGGTTCTTGAACACACAAACTGCCCATTGCGTTGTGACTCTACACGTGTACTGCAATGGGAATATCTCACGTGAGCACCCTTTGCGAAAGTCATGCCTTCTAATGCAAAGTGTGATATCACCCCTCGTTGCCCAAGCCACTGTATTTTTTATCATTTCTGTCATAAAGTGCATGATGTCCACTTATTGATGACATGCATTGATCGCTAGAGAGAGATGGTTGTTCCCGGATCATGCTGCCATCATCAGTCTGTTGTTAAACTATTCTTCACCTACAAAAATACTATGTGACGTCCTCCTGATGTGAAAGGTGATATATCAAATGCAAGGAATATTATTATTACTATTATTACTTATCCTATATTATTTGTCAGCGTACAATCTGGCTCATTAGCACACAGAAATCCCTGACATTTTGTTTTATCTGATTTTCTTTCCGTTAGAAACATTGCATTTGTTTAATCAGCAGTGTAAGATTGTAACATCCCACAGTGATATACTGGATCTCCCTTCCCAAGGTGGCTTGATCTCGATAAATGGAAAATATTTTACTTTTGAGAAAATGTTAATGAATGTAGTAGTGTCCAATCAATGGACGTTGCTCAGAGGCTACAGTTTTTCTTCACATTGCTCAATCAGTCCTGTCAAATAGTCCACTGCAGCTTTATTCTAATTTACAACTATGTCAAATTACCAGAACCCATCAGGCGGTCTAGTAGTAAGTACATTGTCCCAATCAGAAACAAAATTATAGCATGTAATGGAGCATGGGACTCCACACTGAAAGAATAAGCTCAAAGCTGATTGAAGCACAAGTGACTGTCTCCTGCTTTAATGAGTTTGAGCACCAGAGACAGTGTAGGGGGTAACAGTACAATGCACTCTGGCACGCACGTTGCACAAGGGAGTGATATAGTGGAGGTTTGTGCTTTCAATTTCCCACAGCTGGGAGTTTCTTGTCTCTGCTGCCCTATCCACAACTCGGAGAAATCGTGGCGTGCAGTTGGGTTCCCTTTCCCCCGCACGGAAAATTGCTCGACAGTGACTTGGAAGGAAAGCAGTCAACTGGGTGAGATCTCAACCTGATAAGGTGGCAAGGAGAAGGAAATCTAAAACACTTTACAAATTAATTAAATAACCTCAAAGATACTTCCTCCAGATTGATGTCCTACCAGCCCACCCCGCCGTCTTACCTTCTGCTTTTGATTACGTCTCTTCTGGTGCTGAAATTAAACTGTTGGTTCATTTATCTTGAAAGCATCGCAGAAGTTCACTCGAGTTTGCCAGCAGTCTAGTATGAATTGAGGGCAAACAGCCAGCCAAACCAAGGAAAGATCAAAGGGTCCAATATTCCCTGGTTTAAGCTTAAGTCATCACAGTCTGAAGTCGCAATCTAAATGTTTATCCATAAAAACTCCCAGCCATCAATTTGTTGTCCTGGCCAACAATCCCCCAAATAAAATTGGTCACTCACTCCAGGGCTGTTTGTGGGACACTGCTGAGCACAACTGGCTGCCGCATTTCACCTGCACACAAAATACCCAGTCAGTCCACTTTGCAGTATATCCCGTGAAGCGCCTTGAGATGTCGCAAGGACATGATAAGGCGCTGTATCAAGTGCAAGGATTATCATCGTTATTAAAGAGGTTATTTCAAGCTGTGCTAACCTTTCTTTTCTCTGTAGTCTTTGGTGTTACTGCTGCAGAGCCAACGTCAGTACATCTTCGAATTCGACCAGAGGGAAAACCTCCTTGCAGTCACCATGCCCAGTGTCGCCCGCCACACCATGTCCACTCACAATTCCATCGGCTACATCCGCAACATCTACCATCCTCCAGAGAGCAACGCGTCAATGATCTTCGATTTCACCAAGGAAGGGCGCATCCTGAAATCGGCTTACCTGGGGACCGGACGCCAAGTCTTCTACAAGTACGGGAAGCTGTCGAAGCTCACCGAGATCCTGTACGACAGCACGGCCGTGATGTTTGGTTACGACGAGACCACGGGGGTCCTCAAGATGGTCAACTTGCAAAGCGGCGGCTTCTCTTGCACCATCCGGTACCGGAAGGTCGGTCCGCTCATCGACCGACAGATGTACAGGTACTCGGAGGAAGGCATGGTGAACGCCCGGTTCGATTACACCTACCACGATAACAGCTTCCGGGTTGCCAGCATGAAGCCGGTCATCAGCGAAACGCCGCTCCCCGTTGACCTCTACCGCTACGATGAGATATCAGGCAAGGTCGAACATTTCGGGAAGTTCGGGGTCATATATTACGACATAAATCAGATCATCACCACAGCCGTGATGACGCTCAGCAAGCACTTTGACACTCACGGACGCATCAAGGAAGTCCAATACGAGATATTCAGATCCCTCATGTACTGGATGACAGTTCAATACGACAGCATGGGTAGGGTGATCAAGAGAGAGATCAAGGTTGGGCCTTATGCAAACACGACCAAATATAACTATGACTATGATGGGGATGGGCAACTGCAGACGGTCACTGTGAATGACAAAGCCACTTGGCGCTACAGTTACGACCTCAACGGCAACCTCCATCTCTTGAACCCCGGGAGCAGCATTCGCCTCATGCCTCTGCGTTACGATCTCCGAGACAGGATCACACGTTTGGGGGACGTGCAGTACAAACTGGATGAGGACGGCCTCCTCTCCCAACGTGGCTCCGACGTGTTCGAGTACAACTCCAAGAGTCTGCTCATCCGGGTTTACAGTAAAGTCAACGGGTGGAACGTGCAATATCGTTACGATGGCCTGGCTCGCAGGGTTTCCAGCAAGACCAATTTCGGACAGCATCTGCAGTTCTTCTACGCGGATCTCAACAACCCAACCAGGGTGACTCACGTTTACAATCACTCCAGTTCGGAGATCACGTCCCTGTACTATGATCTCCAGGGCCATCTCTTTGCCATGGAGATAAGCAGCGGAGAAGAGTTTTACATCGCCTCGGATAACACCGGCACCCCTCTGGCAGTCTTCAGCAGCAGAGGACTAATGATCAAGCAGCTCCAATACACCGCCTACGGTGAAATATACCACGACTCTAACCCTGACTTCCAGCTGGTGGTCGGATTTCACGGCGGCCTCTATGAGACACTCACTAAGCTGGTTCACTTTGGCCAGAGGGACTATGATGTCTTAGCTGGACGCTGGACTGCTCCCGATTATTCCATATGGAACGACATTGGCAAAGATCCTGCCCCCTTCAACTTATACATGTTCAAGAACAACAATCCTCTCAGCAACATACAGGAAGTCGCAGATTACGTAACCGGTAAGATCACTCGGAGGCAAACCAAAACGTTGCTTCAATTCAGGCCGTTTCACGCTCGTTACCTAAAAAGGAGTCGATTGCAAGGAATATGGGGAAAGAGCATGTAAATGGGACAGAAAAGGTTGTTCTTAATGCAGTTAAGATGAGCCGAATGGCCTTCTTCTGTGCTGTAAATTTCTCTGATTCCAGATCACCAAAATCACAATGGATTTTGAGGTTATGACAGGATTTTAGTGAAGTCTATTTCAGAGGCCTGGTGTAGTTTTGCATATAGTAAACTGGCAAGGAGGATTCAGGAAAGGGAGAAACTTTACGGCTTAATTATAAACAGGAAAATAGAAATGGGTAAACTTGCGCCTCAGAAGTCAGACAAATCTCCAGGCCCAGATGATTTCCATCCCCAGGGGACTAAAAGAAATAAGGGAAGAAATTGTAGGGGCTTTAATTATCATTTTTTAAAGTTCAGTAGGTTTGGGAATTGTAGCCAAGGATTTTACGGCAGCAAATGTGACTCCAAATTCATTTGTTAATCTGTTGATTTCAGCTTCAAATGGGAGGGGGTTGCTCAACGTTGATTTTTGTCGAAGAATTGATCTTATAGAAACCTCTAAGATTCTTAAGGGTCTTGACAGGGTAGATATTGTGAGACTGTTTCCCCTGGTTGGAGAATCTAAAACTAGGTGTCGTAGTCTCAGGATTAAAGGTCAGCCTTTTAGAACTGAGTTGAGAAAACATTTCTTCACGAGAGTAGTGAACTTATTGAGTTCCCCAGAACATATTCAAGACTGAGATCTATAGATTTTTAAAAACTAAAGGGATTAAGGGATATGGGGATAGGGCAGGTAAATGAAATTAGGTTAGAAGATCAGCCATGATCTTATTAAATGGCGGGGCAGGCTCAAGGGGCCAAATGGCCTACTCCTGCTCCTATTTTCTTATGTTCTTATGTTAATTGGTGGGGTTTTTTAAAAGAATGTATCATCCTGAATCCACGCTTTGACAACATCAACAGCATCACAGTGAAGGCATTTATTTCAATTGTTTTGATTTGGGGAAATAATAATAATAATAATCCTTGCATTTGACATACCGTCTGATCACGTCTTTAAGACGTCTCAAGGCGATAAATGTTTATGTTTTTCTCCCTTTTTCTCTCTCTTTGATCTTCACCCCATGCATCGAATGAATGTTGAACATTCATTCTGTCTTCCCTGCAGATGTCAAAAGTTGGCTTGTGACATTCGGGTTCCAGCTGTACAACATTATTCCTGGATTCCCAAAGCCGGCCATTCACTTCGCGAAACCTCCGTACGAGTGGTGGAGAGCCAAGAACGAGAAAACTTGCAGGTAAGGAAGCAGAACCAGTTGAAATTATTCGTTGCCTTTCTCTCTGCGTCTACGCCTGCTGACCATCCTTCCATAGTAATAATAATCCTTGCATTTGGTAGCCGAGCACCTTGTCATGTCGTTGAGACATCTCAAAGCGCTGCGCAGAATATATGGTAAAGTGATTTGACTGTATATCTTGTGGGCCAAACGTGGCAGAAAGTTGCGCACAGCAGTGTCCCACAAACAGTCATGGATTGAGTGACAACATTGATTTATTTGGATTTTTTTTTCCATATCTCTGTATCTGCCCGTATGGAAAAGCAGAAATGCATGGAAGTGCGCGACAGGTCAATTTGACATCTGAAAAAGAGAAACTGCTCGATGTTTCAGGCCTGGACCATTAATCCCACTTTAATAACCTGCTATAGATTGCTGATCTTTCTGGGGATCTGTGTTTTTCCCCACAGATTGTCAGAAACAGCAGTTTTCTTTGTGTTTCGACCTGACTGTTTGTGCCAGTGATTCCACCTCTGTATTCCGAAGGTGAAATGACAATGTGTAACAGTGATCAATGTAATCAACAAGGCTGGTTGGCTGGATGCCATCTTAACTCAACAAGAAAAATCCACATTAAGTCAGAATGCCATGAACTGGGTCAGCAACTCCAATGGAGGTCCCAGTCCAGCTCAGACCATCAGATGAGACATTAAACCGAGGTCCCGTCTGCCTGTTCAGGTGGCTGTTAAGATCTCATGGTGCCATTCGAAAAGAGAAGGTTGTTTCTCTGTGTCCTGGCCAACAAATCCCCCAAGTAAAATTGGTTACTGACTCCATGATTATTTGTAGGACACTGCTGTGCACAAACTACATTTTGCCCACAGAATACACAGTCAATCCACTTTACAATAAATCCTGTGAAGCGCTTGGAGATGTCTCAACTATGTGATGAGGTGCTATTTAAGGATTATTATGATGATTATTATTATTATTAGTTGTAACAAAGCCAGGGAAGTCAAGGCCTGTGTTTAGTTATCGACTCGCTTAACCACATATTTCAACCGATGATCACTATCATATCGCACCCCGTTATCTTCACACCAGGTAGAGATGCTAACTTCCTTCCCTTTTGTCTCTGGTATTAAGTTTGTTTCAGGGGTTCAGCAAGTAGCAGAGAGACTCAACAAAGCCTTCATGACCCTGGAAGGGTGCTCACTGGCCAAACCCATCAGGTTAGGCCACAAGGACAGGCCTGGACACTGGTTTGCAGTCACCGATTCCATCATCGGGAAGGGAGTCATGTTTGCCGTCAAAGAAGGTAGAATAACAACTGGCACGACGAGCCTGGCTAATGACGACAGCAGGAAAATAGCGTCCATTCTGAACAACGCCTATTATTTAGAGAAAATGCACTACACCATCAACGGAAAAGATACCCACTACTTGGTGAAAATTGGCTCGTCGGACGGAGACCTGGCAACGCTGGGCATGACAAGTGGCCGCAAAGTGCTGGAGAACGGGATTAACATCACGGTTTCTCAACCAGCAATTCTGCTTAACGGCAGGACTCGAAGGTTCACAAACATTGAGTTCCAGCACGGAGCCTTGTTGCTAAACATCCGCTACGGAATTACACCAGACACGTTGGAAGAGGAGCAGGCCAGGCTGCTGGAGCAAGCCAGGCTACGGGCTCTAGCGAATGCCTGGACTAGGGAGCAGCAGAAGGCAAGGGATGGCAAGGAAGGAGGCCGACTGTGGACTGAAGGAGAGAAACAACAGTTGCTGAGTGCTGGCAGGATTCAAGGTTACGAGGGGTACTATGTGTTGCCAGTGGAACAGTACCCAGAGCTGGCAGACAGTTCCACCAATATTCAGTTCCTGAGACAGAACGAGATGGGAAAGAGGTAACAAACCGTACTGCTGTCGTCTCTGGCACAAGCTGGAAGATTGATCACAATCACCCTCTCCTCTCCTAAGGAGATGGAAACTATAAAGGGGACATTGAAACTAAGCGACTTTGGAACTGAACTGAGGAGAAGAACCAAGCTCATATAAAATGAGTTTGTCGGCACATAAGGACTCCAGAACGGGACTGGAGCCCAAGAGAAACAACAAAAAAACTAATTGCTTGACAAGTACCCCTTTTTATAACATAGCCCAGGTTCTCTGGACTGATGAAACGTAAAATAGGCAAGTCTCCGTCTCTTTTCTTCACTCGGTAAACTTACTGCCTCACAGGTACGTCATTTGAAACACTTGAATCCGAAATGACCACCTCGAAAGAATCCGGCAACTGCATAGATGCAACCTTTTGTAATATAACCCCCACCCGAAGGAAACCTGTTGAAACAAATCCGAAATGTACTGATCCATCGAAGCCTGGGCCAGACTCCTTACAATAATGTATTGTTTTGTTTATTGGCATAGCAACTGTAGTGGACACAGTGAGCCTTGGAGATTATGGTGACTGAATCCAGCAGTCCTATTTCTGGGGAGGGGAGGGAGGGAGGGGGGGGGAGGGAGGGAGGGAGGGCATTATGTCTCTAAAGATGTGACGTAATTATTAAACAAGATATGTTATTGTCATACACACCGTGGTACTCTTTTTAAAAAAAAAAAGAAAAATAAAACGACATTGTGGACAGATTGACGTGTGCAGGGTGTATTCTGCATAGTTTCTTAAAAGTAGTTCGTCAGTAATGGTTTATGGTAGCGTTGTGGCCAATGTTTCACTGCTATGAACGGCACTGCTTTTCACCGGCCCTGTAAACTAAGACACGGGGAGTGGGGAGGGAGGGAGGGAGGGAAAAGGGGTAACGGGGGGGGGGGAAAGGGCAATTAGGAGGCATAATTACTGTTTAATGAACTAAAAATGTGCGATGAGACCCTGCTCGCTTTGTTACTTGCCTCTCAAATTACGACAATCACGCTGAAGTCACCAGAAGGCAAAATGAGATCTTTATTAAATGACTTTTTTTTTTTGTAAAACTGTACATGGAAGAATTGTCCTTGGAGGATTTTATATTCATTTCAATTTTTTGCTGCTCAGCAAATATTAGTCACAGGAAAAAAAATTAAGACAAAAAAAGATCATTTATGTAAAGGTGTTTCAAAAATGTTTATACTTTAAAATAAAGTCTTTAAAACTGAAAACGTGTCAGATATTGTGAACAAACCACTTAACGGAACTCTAGAATAATGAATACCCTGAGGAAATTCAGCCACCACCTAGATTTCTGGGGAATCGAATGGAATGGATAGTTCAAGATGACTGCCAATAAATAATATTAATGATAATCCTTGCATTTGATATAATATTGGAGGAAGCGTGCAGGAGGATTCCTTATTAAGGCTGCAAATGGAATCCTTCTGAAAAATAGACGTGTGTATAGCAGGATCTCTGCTCAGAGAGTGGATTTGTATCTGTGTGGAGTTCCCATGACTCCCATTGGCAGCCGTGCTTTCAGCCACTCTGCCCCGAATCTCTGGAACTCCCTGCTTCAATCTCCTCCGTCTTGCCCCCCTTCTGTGCCCGTCTTTCAATCACACCTGAAGACTTTCTTCTTCAACCGTGCCTTCGGTCACCTCCCCTCTTTCCAGCTTGGCGTCAAACCACGCCGCCATTAAGCTCTCCGAGACGCTCTTTGCGTGAAGGACCCTTTAAAAATGCGAGTTGTTGTTATTGTTGGATCGTCTACTTCTGCTTAGACCTTCGTTCAGCAAGACGTTTGCGGTCACACACTTTAACATACGTCTACAGAAAGTCAGGATCTATAATATCCCCATTGGTAATCCAATCTTGTTACATCTTCAAACTAACCATAACAAATTTCTCTGCAATTACCTGCATTTCGTATAACTGGATTGACTGGAAATTATGTAACGGATAAAAGTAGAGTTTCTTGCCAGAAAATAATCTTGGCAGAAATAACCTCTTCTTCACCATCCCAATGTTAATGCTTCAAATCTTCAATCCGAATACTGCTTTGCAGTTAGAAAAACTGTGTTCTGATCTTACTTTCAATCAAGGTAAATAAATAGCTGTATTCAAAGTATACTCAGAACCTGCTGTCTGTCTCCAAATCATCCGTCCTGAAACATGGTTGTCCATGCTAATGTTCTAGTCATTTGCTCTGCTGAGGTTAACAACACACAGAGGAGAAATGTCACCTGGGTAACTCTCTGTATGTCACATTTCAGAGAGTCGGAATTTGGCAAATACTTAAATGCATTTGGAATTTCATTTGGAACCCTTTTGGGGTAAGTTTCTTTTAAAATCTTACAGAAAATCGACTTCAAAGTCGCAGAAGACTGCATTGAACAATTTGCCAAATTCCGGACTCTGAAATGTTACATAAAGAGAGTAAATCTCGGTGGAATTTTCATCCTTACACTCTTGTCTAAACGTGAACTTTAAATTCTTACTACATTTCCTCACAGTTACATACCCTCTCCACTTTAGCAGAATGCAGCAAACTCTGCCAAGAAGACATGGGTGAAGTACTTCTAGGAAATTGCGATCAGAAATAGTTATGTATGAATATGATTAAATTACTAAAACTTTGACAGTAAATTCCTTGCCAACTCTTCCTCTTAGCACATCATTCAGTGCTTGGATCCTGAGAGAACCTAATACCTTGGAACAGAAGCACCAGGGCATTCATGCTACAATTAAATCTCTGGCTTACGACCAACTCCCAGAACACAGCAATGACACTGGCAGTAAGTACATTATGCAGCGTAGTGTAGTAAACAAGTTTTCGTGTTACACATTTGCCAATATAATTTGGCACTACGGCTGAAAAGTCATATTTTTGTGAGATCCTGAATTGTATGCGATTGCTTCGGAGGTGTTGCATTGCATGGCAGCAACACGGTGTTAAAAGCAAGTCATTCTAAACAAATTCAGCTGCTCTGATATATTCTGGGGTTGCAACACCTTTACGCTTGCTTGTGCCAATACAGAAGGGTCAGCAATTTAATCCCTGTTGGCGTTTGTGTCCAGATGCTCTGGAAAGTGGCTCACCTGGAGGAAGCACTCTTTCTTTCTCAATCTGCCTAAGTTCCTCCATGGTCTCCTCTCTTGGGGGTGTTTTAAATGACAAGCTGCCCGTCAAAAGGGTTAGGTTGCAGATACTGGGATAAGCATCCTAGGAGTCCTGAATTTTCACCTGACGTCTCACTTTTACCCAGTTTAAGGCTTCATTCTTGCTCCCTCCCTCGCCTGCTTCAAGGCACGTCCCAAAACCCCCTTCAACCGCGCCTTCGGTCACCTTCCCTGCCCCCCCACCCTCCCTGATCCCAACTCCCAGCTCGTGTCCAAATCCTTGACTTGTCCAGCGCCTTGGGACATCCTCCCGACGTGATAAGCGCTATACAAATGTGATTTTGCATTAGTTGTTTTATGTTATTCATGATAAAACAATTTAAATAAGTATACGTCTCTGACTTGTGGGTTGCGACACCACAAATGTTTGTTTGCAAGTGCTGTTTGCAAGTGGAAATACTATCATGTGTTAGTCATCTACCAAAGAAAATCTCTATGGATTCCTTCTGCACTAAAACTCGATACTATTTCCACCAAATTGCTTTCCATCTCACAAATCCAATTGCACAAATCAATAGCACAGAGTGTGATGGGCAATAATAATTGTGTGCATACAGGCAGGGAACTATACCAATAATTTTACTGGTCATGAGATGCTGAGAATATTATCGACATATCACCCACTGAGGAACAATAACAGAGCCTTGAAGTCTTATGATAGAAGCTTTCGGTTCATGTTTTCTTTATGGGAAGTGCCCAACGATATAATAACGTTGCCTGAGATACAGCTGAGGGAGACCAAATTGAAGAACAGCAGTTTGCCACTGCAAAGCAGGTGGGCATTCTTTGCTGAGCTCGAAGGTTAGCAAGTGGAAACCCATCATCGCTTGTAAGTGAAATGTGCTATTTTTAAAACCTGCTGTGTGTGTGAAAGAAAAAGAAATTTTAATGACACATTATTTTTGAAGTGTCATTTTTGACAGGTTGGCTTCCTGAATGATGATGTTTGGAACTTGATCATATCCAGCAAATTCTGACTGATTATTGACTGTCCATTCAATACCAATTGAGGGCACACAGAGCTCAAAATTTCAGCTAGAACCAGCAAATTCCCATCATTTCATCTGAATTAGGTCTCGTCCTTCAATTGACCTGTCGAGCTTCAATTCCCCAGCCCAGTTCAGACTCAGACTGTTATTACTTTAACCGTGGGGTAAACTGCAGCTTTGTTTAGCAGTCCATTGTCAAATAAAGACTTGAATGCAAGTTCTATGTGATTATATGTAACATGTGAAAATGCAATAGATTTCACATCCAGTGTTTCACGTTGAAGTAGCTCAGTCTGATGTTCAGTAGCAGTCTGATGTTAGCAGCCGTTGGGATGAAAGAGTGGAATACAACAAGTTCCACCGTTCATTCTACTGAATTCTCAATCTGATTTCATCACTATGAAGAAATGTAAATGCATGGACCAGGCATCTCTTCATTTATGTGTGTGTAAATATGTGTGTGTGTGTTTGGGGGGTGGGTGGGGTGTGGTGGGGGGGTTCATCACCAGACTTCCTACGTGCCTCCAACTGGCTAATTCCAGATCACCATTTCATCTACATTGTCACAAGTGTCTCACTCACTCACAGATTGCCCCAAGGGAAGAACGTGTATCTGTGAATGTTCAAAGGAGGCACACATTAAGTAAAATTATTGCCAGATCAAGTGTTGAATAGTGGGCACAAATCTGCAGCATTTTGTTCAGAGAATTGCAAATTCCATTTTTGCAGAATTTGTGATGGAAATAGAGGATTTTGGTGACTTTGGATTCGCGTGTTTTGCCGTGAGTTTCACGAAACCTGAAGTTGCAATTGAGGCAACAAATCCATTTTGCAAAATGCCAAATTATATCCCACTACCTTCTTAGTCACAGAAATGTGCATTGAAATGTAAGGAAAATCCTCCGACCTAGTATAAATGTCGAGACATATATACAAGGCATACCTGTCAGCAGACGCAAGACAATGATTTAACCTCAGGGGCTCAAATGATGGACATAAATTGCTTGATGTTTACTTTTGTGGTTTATGATGTCAAGAAAAGTCACTGATTGGATTATAGCCTTGTAATTCACTGAGAAATATCCATTATCCCCTGGATGATTTTTCTGGAGGGCCGAATCGAAGAAGTAATATATTTGTGGTCAATAAAAGCATTGGCAATTCCCTCTTGACGTTTCCTACTGTTAGCAATCTTTAAACATAAATTAACCATCATGGAAACCAGAGGACAAGCCATGCTGTTTATCAGTTATTTTTCAGCTCCAAGTCCTGTTAAGAATCAAGAGTCGTACGTGGGTAGGTTGTTTTCTTTCCCGCATTGAGACAACATAAAAACATGTAAAATGGCACAATCTGAATTCTAACACCATTTTACAATTACAGTGAAAATAT